GGTTGACTGTGACTATGGAATTCATGCTGATTGCTCAGGCCCCGCGGATATTGTTAAATTCCCCTCGTTGTGCTTACAGGACGGCCCTCAAGGATTACGCTTTGCTGACCATGTGTCTGCCTTTCCGGCGGGTATTACAACGGGATCTACGTGGAACCGAGAGCTCATGCGCGAGCGCGGCGTCGCCATGGGGCGAGAGGCTCGGTTGAAAGGGGTGAATGTCCTCCTTGGCCCGTCGATGGGCCCCTTGGGAATGATGCCTGCCGGAGGACGCAACTGGGAAGGATTCGGCTCTGACCCTGTGCTTCAAGGCGTGGCTGCGGCGGAAACCATCCGAGGTATTCAGAGCAACGGGGTCATGGCGACGGCGAAGCATTTCGTGTTGAATGAGCAGGAACATTTCCGGCAGCCTTTTGAGTGGGGGATCCCGACTGCTTTATCGTCCAATGTGGGTGATCGTGCCTTGCACGAAGTCTTTGCGTGGCCGTTTGCCGAGAGTATCCGAGCCGACGTGGCTAGCGTAATGTGCTCTTATCAAATGGTGAACAACAGCCACGCCTGCGAAAATAGCAAACTCTTGAACGGGATCCTCAAGGATGAACTGGGGTTTCAAGGGTTCGTGCAGTCCGACTGGCTGGCCCAGCGGTCTGGCATCAACAGCGCCATTGGCGGCCTCGACATGAGCATGCCGGGAGACGGTCTGCACTGGGTGGACGGCAAATCGCTCTGGGGTAGTGAGCTGACGAGAGCAGTGCTCAACACGTCTGTTCCTGTGGAGCGACTCAATGACATGGCCACTCGAATTGTGGCTGCGTGGTATCATTTGGGGCAGGATAGCTGGGAACGTCCGCCACCCGAGGGCAACGGCGGTCCCAATTTTTCTTCATGGACCAACGACGAGGTTGGGTGGCTGCATACTGGAAGCAACGACGAGTCTTATGCTGTGGTGAACCAGTACGTTGACGCCCAGGGCACCGGGCCGGAGGCGCATAGCATTATTGCGAGAAAGGTTGCGGCGGAAGGGACAGTGCTGCTGAAGAACGTAGATCGCACACTTCCGCTGTCGCACAATGCGTCGAATCCATCCGGAGGCATTCTCCGCGTTGGTATCTATGGCGACGACGCCGGACCGGCCTCGGGGCCAAATGCTTGCCCTGACCGGGGATGCAACCAGGGCACCCTGGCTACCGGCTGGGGCAGTGGAACCGTGGAGTTCCCGTACCTTGTCAGCCCTATTGAGGCGTTGGAATCTGCATGGTCGACGGAAGTAGAAAGCACCGCGTACCTGCGCAACGCCGTCATACCAGCGGACACGGTTGACAAAGATCTGTGCCTGGTTTTTGTGAATGCAGACTCAGGGGAGGGGTATATTTCTGCAGGCGGAATTCACGGCGACCGAAACGATCTCTTTCTGCAGAAAGGAGGCGATACACTGGTCCACAGCGTGGCGAGCAACTGCGGTGGCGGACAGGGAAAGACAGTCGTCGTCATTCATGCGGTCGGTCCGGTCGTGATGGAGTCGTGGATCGATCTTCCCGGCGTGCACGCCGTCGTGCTCGCCAACCTGCCCGGACAGGAGAGCGGAAATGCATTGATGGACGTGCTGTTTGGCGACGTAGATGCAAGTGGACGATTGCCGTACACAGTTGGGAAGAGTCTGGAGGACTATGGGCCAGGCGCGCAGGTGTTATACGAGCCCAATGCACCGGTGCCGCAGGTGGACTTTTTGGACGCTCTGTACGTCGATTACCGGCATTTTGACCGGCACAACATCACACCGCGCTTCGAATTCGGATTCGGGTTGTCCTATACTACATTTGAACTGTCGGATCTCAGCGTCAGCCCGCTGCAGAGAAAATCGCGGTCTCCACCCCCACGGCCTGCAGACGCCGTGGCTCCACCAGTGTACGAGACCAGCCTTCCGGATCCTGCATCGGCGTTATTCCCAGCCGGTTTCCAGCCAATCTTCAAGTACATCTATCCCTATCTTCCAAGTCTTGATGGAACGGCACCGCGCAACTATTCATTCTACCCCAAGGGTTACAACGAGACACAAAGTCCATCGCCGGCCGGGGGCGGAGCAGGTGGCCATCCTGCGCTATACGAGGAGATGGTACGTGTAAAGGTCCAGGTGAGCAATACTGGAGATCGCAAGGGGCAGGAGGTGGTCCAGGTCTATGTATCCTTTCCGCCCGATGTGACCGAGGAGGGCGACTGGGTGGAGGTAGACTCTGACATAGAGAAGTCCGGGGAGAAACAGAGGGAACGGGTGAAAATCGAGTTTCCTGAGCGCGTTCTGCGGAACTTCACCAAGGTTGAGCTGGAGCCCAGTGAGCGACGCGAGGTGGAGATGACGCTCAGTCGGAAGGATCTGAGCTACTGGAGCACACGCGAGCAGAACTGGGTGATGCCCGAGGGCAAATTCCAGATCTGGGTGGGACGCAGTTCTCGCGATCTGCCATTGATGGGAGAGTATTGAGTTTGCCCTATTGTATACTATGAGTAGACTAATTCTTGTACATAGATGTGGGACATAATAATAGATCAAGCAATGCCACAGCAGGCAGCATCCGCCAAATATAGAATTTGTTCCAAACAATCAGGCCGCCTCTTGTTGCCATGAGCATGAAGAGTGGATCTGTGGCTGCGCCGAATCTTCCAGCTTAACGGTGAGTTTTCGGCAGCGCAAGGCTGTGGACTGGACCCTGAGGGGCTATTACTGACTGTCGGCCAATGACAGGAGCAGCAGAACGTGAAGCTATTGAATTTGACCAGAAAGGTACTCAATCCGAGACACGGAGTGGAGCAACCGTCGATCATCGGCATCATCGGCTATGTCATTGCTGGATCAATTTCTCTTCTCTGGACGGCATCCCCTGCCAAAGAAACCTAATCATCCGTGCCGTGTTAGAGAATGAGCAAGGGTACGGCAACAACGTAACATGATCAGCTGTCCCTCTGTTTCAAGGGTATTAAACGTCGGAGCCAGCGGTAGAAATCGAGACGGAGACCGACCCGGGATCGTCAGGGCCAAGGTGGAGATGGGCGCTCGATATGCCACATGGGGCAAGGCTTTTGTCTTGCATGAAAGAAATAGATAAGGGATTATGAAAATGCAGGGTTGCTAGTCGGATCTGGTTTTTTTTCGTCAGCTAGTGCTGGCAGATCAGGTATATAAACGTCTCCCTCTCCATATCTGATCCATCAACCCCATTCTCACTATCACTGTACAGCTACACTACAAGCACATCTAAAAGTACATCTACAACGACAGAAAAAATGAAGATCCCAGCTCTTTTCTCGCTCCTCACCCTGGCCTCTGCCGTCAGCATCCCCGTCCGCAACAATGGCCACGGCCACAGCTACCGCAGCAGCAACGGCACCAGCAAATTCTCCGTCATGTCCGTTCGCTCCGGCTCGCCCATCCACTTCCTCCCCCTGAACGCTGCTCACGGCAGCTTCTGGCTCGGCGAGTCCGCCTCCACCTACTGCCCTGAGTCCGTTGAGGAAATCGGCGGCTGTCCCCCAGGCACAACCACCCGGTTCGCCGGAGAGACTGCCTTGGTACGTCCCATTCCCTATTCTCACCTGTTCCAATCAAACTAACAAACCCAGGACGTCGCCGTCCCCGGCGGCCAGAACATCTACGTCGACCCCCGCGGCGCCCTGCGCTTCACCACTCCTCACTCGGCCTACATCCCCCCTGGCTCCTCCACCGGCCCCTTCGTCTACACCGCCGGCACGCCGTTCGGCCACTTCGCGTACAAGGGCCAGGGCGCCAGCGGGTTCGTCGCTTGCCCCAAGAGCAATGGCACCGCCACGCACTGGCAGGTGTATGCGGCTGTTGCGAAGGCCACCGGCAGCGCGGAATGCCTTGGTTTTGATGCTCTGGCGGTGCCTTCTAATGATACTCAGGCTGCCGCTTGGGAGTATATCTAAATTCGTGGTACTTGACATGAGTGGATTGAATTGTGTATGCTATATACTAGACTAGGATAGCTTGGCCCCAGGTGGGAAAGCAAGAGGGGTTAAATGGTGGTGGTCGTTGGAATATAGTCAGCTTTGACTGGACTACTCTGACCGTTGCTCCTGTGTGTATAAGAAAGAATAGAGTTGTGAGATCTCGTCCCTGTCTTCGTACGCGTAGCCCTAGATCCTAGATCGAGCTTGTCCTAAGGCCATTGCCAACCTCGACGTAGTAGATTTACTGAACATGCACCATGGCAACACATCTTGTGACCTTGTATGCTGTGACTCTCGGTTCCAAAGACTACTGCACCACGTACCTCAGTCGAGCTGACACAATGGCTGTAGGTGCACACCTTTTCTTTCTTTGCAAGGCTCTCATACCTCCTCACTGATGACCACAGGACCTTCCAATGACTCAAGTGGTATTTATCACCGGGATTTTCACTTCCGACAAATACGGTCTACACAGAAAACCTCTCATAATATGAAGAAGAGGAGGTTAGTGGTGTCCTCAGACCGGCAGCTACAACGCCAGTACGTCGTGTCTCGATGGGTATATTCATGTACTAGAGTCGACAGTACCCACGTTCTCTGTATTTGCCAATATGTTGGAGTGCAGCTCCGCAGTCTCAAGTAAGGGAGGGTTGGGTGTCATGGGGTTTGTGCGTTTTGTACAATGGATCTGCTTGCTTCCTTTACCTTTGAGCTCACAAGGTTGCTCTCGTAGGCACTTTCCAACTATGCCTCTAGGACTATCGTGTACTTATATGTTGCAACAACGTCTTTCATCAATTGGGTTCCGCATTGCAACACCTGAGGATATTTCCTCACTGGGTATTCCATATCTTTGCTACATCTATGAGCCTACATGTTGATCAGTAATGGGAGTATCCTGTCCAAAAACTCAATTTTCAACTGCCGTAATCCAAGCGCATCGTAGCAGTCGAGCAAGTCAACAATACCAAACCAGCAACTCGACAGCAACCGACCAACCAACCAGATTGCCAGCAGCAACAAAGGAAACATACCTATCAATCAATCTCCAATCCACCCTCATCCTCTCTCTCAACCGACCTGCAATCTAGTCAGCAACCCCAGTCAAGACTTACCTACCGAAACCCAAGCGCAGGCTTATACCCAAGCTGTCCATCACTCGTATACATATACGCCTCAATCCTTCTCTGCATATCACTAACAGCCATACCCATCAGCACCTGCACATCCAAAACATCAGCACTGCAATCAAAATCATACCAGATGCCTCCCGCAAACGTGCGGTCCCACGCCGGCGCGAGCGTGGCCTGGCCGCGGGCGACGCACTCGATCATGGCGCCGAGGAGGGAGTAGCTATTTGGAAAAAGGCCGGTGACAGGGCAGAAGACCCACCAGGTGCGTTGGCCCGGGAGGTTGGGTCTATACCCTGTTTCGTAGGTGAGACAGTCGTCAACGGGGATGAGGCGGGGGGGGGGGGGGGGGGTCGTGGTAGTTTGTTGGTTGTTGGTTGGACATTTTCGTCCTTGTTATCCGGTATCCGGTGCTTGCTTGGAGTATAAGTGGTTATTGAAGTTGAGGAGCTGTGGAGGTTTGCAATCGAAGTAGTGATTGCGGATTTTCGAACGGGCAGAGCAAGAGAAGAGCAAAGAGCAGAGGAATCTCCAAAGGATGATGGTGATGAAGAAAGTCCATCTTGAGCAGATTTCTCGACAAATTTATATCCATCGCGAGCAGCGAGATGAGACACAATCTGCCGATATCAGACATTTCAGAACTCGATCATGACGAACAAGACAGCGATGTCTTGTAGAAAATCATCCTGACTTGAAAAAACGGGATAGATGTCCTAGACACGAAGTACAAGATATGGGAGACACAAGAATGGCATGGGTAGAGAAGCTGGTGAAGAGATGTCTTACAGACGGATTGACCGAGACATCGTGCCAACGGCATTGTCTTTGAGTCGATTCTGCAATGAGGGAACATCCAAGGGGCTGGACAAAGAAAGACAATCGATGAAAAGCCAGAATCGAGACATGCACAATGGCATTGTGATACAAAGAATCTTGACTGGTGACTATGTTGAGGATGACAACGGTCAATTGCTTGTCCATTGTCTTGGAATCAATACAAGTTGATATCATGTCCGATAGCTAGTGAAGTGGATTTCTTGCGTGCATCTGCTGTTACGATGTCTAACAATGTTAGAACAAATATTGCTTTTGCAGTCAAAGAAGAACCCTCTTTGGCCTAGGGGTATATCTAATATAGAACTTAACTCCGATGAAGGAGCGAGCAAGAGAACGCGTCTCGCCTATGTCTATAGTACTGTCTATGTTATGCAAGGTATAACGTTGAGAATTACTGACAATGTATTGATGCTAAAATGTACAGTACAGGGGAATCATCAATCATCAATCTGGTATCCAACGCTCACAATTTCGACGCAGTACCGGGGGTCGAGATCTCATTGTACAGCAGGCTGGTAAGGAAGTCCGCATAATCCTCACCCGTCACCTGACCGGCAAAGTAACGGGCCGCCAGCTGGTATTTGTTGCCCTTGGGTGCCTTGGCGGCCAAGCTGTCGGCCTGCTCCTGGAGCAGACGCAGAGCGTATGACTTGTCGATCTTCTTGCCCTCGGAGCTGGTGACCTGGTGGTGCACCCACTGCCAGAGCTGAGACCGGGACACTTCGGCGGTAGCGGCGTCCTCCTACTCTCGGTTAGTTGTCGCACAGATGAAAGGTGAAAGTTAGAAAGTGAAAGAAACATACCATCAGGTAGTTGATCGGGATGCAGCCAACACCGCGGAGCCAGCCCTCCATGTAGGAAAGACCAATATTCAGATTCTTGCGGATACCATCTTCGGTGATCTTGCCAGGAACATTGGTGTTGAGCAGATCGTTGGCGGTGATGTTGACGTCCTCCCGGCGGACGAACAGCTGGTTAGGGGTAGGCATGTGCTTGTTGAAGACCTCGGAGGCAATGGCGGCGAGCGCGGGGTGAGCAACCCACGTGCCGTCGTGGCCGGCGCGGACCTCACGCAACTTGTCGGCGCGCACGTTCTCCATGGCCTTGTCGTTGGCGGCAGCGTTGTCCTTGATGGGGATCTGAGCAGCCATACCACCCTGCGATTGTCAGCTTTTTCTCGGTCGATCAGGCACAGCGAGGCTTACCATAGCGTGAACACCACGGCGGTGGCAAGTCTTGATGAGCAGCTTCACATAGGATTCCATGAAAGGCACGGTCATGGTGACGTCGGAGCGGTCGGGGAGGACAAAGTTGGGGTGCTTGCGGAACTTCTTGATGAAGGAGAAGATGTAATCCCAGCGGCCGCAGTTGAGACCGGAGCTGTGGTCACGCAGCTCATAGATAATCTGCGCATGTTAGTACAAAGAGACCCTTGAGCTAGCTGTAGAGTATCGTGAACTCACCTCATCCATCTCAAAGGCAGCAGTGATGGTCTCAATCAGGACAGTGGCACGGATGGTCCCGCGGGGCATGCCAATGTAGTCCTGAGCGAGGTTGAAGACGTCATTCCAGAGTCTGGCCTCGAGGTGGGACTCCATCTTGGGGAGGTAGAAGTAAGGACCGTAGCCGCGAGCAACCAGCTCCTTGGCGTTGTGGAAGAAGTAGAGACCGAAATCGAACAAGCTGCCGGAGATTGGCTCGCCATTAATGGTAAAGTGCTTCTCATCAAGGTGCCAGCCTCGAGCACGGGCGATCAGGGTGGGAAGGGTGCGGTCTGTGCGAAGCTTGTACTCCTTGTTTCCTTGCTTGAAATCAACTTGACGGCGGATAGCATCGTACAAGTTGACTTGGCCGTTGATCATGTTCGACCATGTGGGGGCACTCGAGTCTATGCCTGTCAGTTTGTCTTCCAGATGCAGCAAAATGCAAGTGGCTCACCCTCGAAATCCGCCATGTAAGTCCACACATCCGCATTCAGAGCATTGACAACCATCTTGCGGTCCGTGGGACCAGTGATCTCCACGCGACGGTCAACCAGACCGGGAGCGGGAGGAGCACCCTTCCAGGCGTCATTTTCACGAATGTGCTTGGTCTCGGGGAGGAAGTCAGGCAGATGGCCCTTGTCGATCTCGGCCTGGCGATCGATACGGCGCTGGAGGAGGGCTTTCCGGGTAGGGTTGAAGGTGCGGTGGAGGATGGCGAGGAAAGCGCAAGCTTCCTTGGTGAGGATCTTGCGATGCTCGTTATTCACAGCGCCCAGGATGGCGACATCCTTGAGCTGCACTTCGATTTGGCTCATGTTGATATTGTCTTTTCAGTGATCAAATGGCTGAAGATGATATGATGGATGAAGAGAAGTCACCCAATTAAAGTTCAAGAAGAAGAAGAAAAGGAATCAAAGCACAGCGCAGCGCCTAGACGACAATATATAGAAGTACGCATGCATAGCTCCTTCGGGAGTAAGAACGGAGACTACGTCAGAACGATGAACAACCGCGGCCCATTGGAAGTTTGGACCAACCATGGGCGAAGAACGGAAACCTTGCAGGCGAACCCATTTCCATTCCAGTCATCCAGCTGTAATCGGTAAGTTATTCTCATGATATGGAGAAGCGTTCTTCAGGGAAACTGTGGAAAACATCCTATCACTGATGGACAACAGCCAGTCATCTTGCATAACCAGCGCTGGATGAGCGGAAGTTGACCATTTCGGGGTAAGTCACATGACTTTTCCGCGGGCATTTATCACACTAATCCCAAGCAGGAAGTATAAATTACCAGTTATCTTACTAGCGCGTATCGATCTTTCGGCCGACTGCTCCCCGCGTCCTGCCTGAGGCGTCTTTCGCTTCCCCTCACCCGGGGCCCGCCGCAGACCGATCGATATCGGCAGGGGTTGATTATCACCACTGCTAATGCTATTACTATTTAATCATTGAACGCATCGAGACCAACTGCTCGTGGAGTTTGTGAACGGATGTATTCTCGGCCGTTTCGGTCCACTGTCAATACCATGAATACGGACTAACCGATCGTGACTGAAGGTATCAACTCCAGATTCAAATAGATCAACCGAGGGATTCGTCCGCATGCCCGAGATCTCCCTGTGGCCGTTGAAGCCGCGGTCCAACGTCCAGATGATCTAGGCCTGAACCCTGCCTCTGCGTTTCGGCCTAGTCGCTGCCTCAGGCTGCCTGCCCGACTTGTTCCGATTAAGTTATTCTTCCATCAGGACTACTACTATCAATACCACAATCAACACCAGCACTCTACAGACATATTTGGCAATTCAATATCAAGGATACAATTTATTTGTGGACTGAATACCGTCTATCTAACCAAATTGTTATATCTAGTGATTGTCGACATTGCGATCTTGCGTGTTGGCATGCGGCATGTGAAGATGGTCGACTGCATGTGATATTCTGTAGCTGGACCACAGAAGCTCTAGCTTCCGGGCCACATTCCGATTCGATACACGCTCGGGATCAAACGGGGTATCTGTTTCAGACTGATTGATAAGAGTCAAATAGAGTATCTATCACGCTATACTTCGTACCCTGAACGGTACGAATCAATGCACAACACTCGCTGGGACATCAACTCGAAGATACAGCATGATCAGGTGAAAAGACTACAAGTGCTATATACAACCGCCTTTGGACCGTAGTGGCATCAACTCGTTAGACCGTCTCAATGTACCGTCGCACCTCCCTGTCACCAGTGTTAGCATAATCCTAGTCGTCATGCATGCGGAGAGAACACAAACCAATCAGTCACCGCTTCCTCCCACAGGTGCACCTCATGTTCTCGCGTCCCCCCAAAGTGATCCACGAATCTATCACCAAATACCTCTCGTGCAACGCTGTCCTTGCGCATGAATGCAACCGTCGCTTCTTTCAATGTTTTGGCCAGTCGAACACCCTGATCGCTGGCGCCACCCATGTCCTCACCCTTGGACAGCGGCGGGACAGGAATCTCCAGCTTCTTCTCGACGCCGCGCCAACCCAACGCGACGATAGCAGCTAAGACAAAGTGCGGGTTTGCGTCTGCTCCCGGCACGCGCACCTCGAATCGAGTTGCTTTCGCGCTGGCTGTAGGCGGGGTGATCAGCCGGATGGAAGCGGCCCGGTGCTCCAGACCCCAGGATACGGTGACCGGGGCCCAGAAGTTCTCCACCAGCCGCTTGTACGAGTTGATCGTCGGTGCAAAAAGAGGCATGATGTCCGGAAGGCCAGTTAGAATGCCTGCCAAGAAGTGTCTTCCCAGGTCGGAGAGGTGCGCTATGTCTGGATAGGGCGGGGATGGGTCAGGCGTCGGGCGGAGGAAAGCATTCTTTCCATCTTCCGTAACCAGCGAGATATGCATATGTCCGCTATTGCCAGGCAAACCTTCCCGTGGCTTTGCCATGAATGCTGGCGTGATGCCATGTTTCGTGCCGATGGACTTGACCACATATCTGGAAGGTCAGCAGTTGCTAAAGCTTCGTATGCACCGACCGAACTACTCACTTGAATAGCCCAGCCTTGTCTGCCATTTCCTTGGCTTCCCCGAATTGTAATGCCTGAACACGTCAGCCATGCACTGCTCAACAGCGGAAGACAACTCACTGCCTCAAATACACCGGGCCCGCTTTCCGTGTGCCATCCCTCAATCTCACAGTTGAACTGCTCGCATGCGTCAAATATACCGTAGTAGTAATCCTGATTGTGTATGGGGCGAGTAAGACTGTATCCAAACATACCCTCCGTCAACGCAGGCAACGCTTCGACAGGGTTATTTTGGAGAAAGGCGGCGGTTGCGGAGGCATTCCGTTCGGGTGTGGGGTAGTCGCCTGGTGCGCGGAATTGATAGAACTCATACTCCGCTGAATATAATCAGTAAGCGTCATGGGAAACAAGCAGAGCAATCCGACCTACCCCCGGCCATAGCACGGTATCCCGCTGCCTCCACCTTACTGAGCGCCGTCTTCAGCAGCCCCCGTGGACAAGCACAAACAGGCTCCCTGGTCTCCGGATCAAAAAAGCTGACAAGAAAGAACGGGATATCGTTCTCCCAGGGGATTCGGCGAAAGCTGCTCAGATCAGGCACGGCGACAAGATCCTGGTATCCATTCTCCTTATTACTGATCGCGAGCTCTTTAAAGTATGTCCGGTCGTGCATGTCCCAGCCAAAGATCACCGAGCAGAATCCGAACCCGTCAGCGGCGATGGAGAGGAATTTCTTCTTGGAGATGAGCTTGCCGCGCAGCTGGCCGTCCACGTCGACACCCGCCAGCTTGACCTTGGTGTCATTTTTGAGGATCTCGGCGACGTTCTCGAGGGTCACTTCGCAGGAGGATGTGGACGCGGACATGGTGACTGAGGGGAGTTCCTGGGACGGTAAGTTGAGTCTGTAAATGCCACTACGGACGGGGAATGAACTCACCAGCGTCGTGGCAGGGGGTTGGAGATAGCGGAAGATACGGGGCCGTGTCGAGTGTGGAGAGCCTATTAGAGCCTAGGGTGCCTTATCGGGGCTTATCAACGGTCGGTTGACCACATCGGTCCGATTGCAGACAGGGCCAGGGTAGGAGCCGATGTAGATGATCGATTCATGGTAGTTGATTTGGACGTATGGAGTAGTCACTTGTCTGAAATAATTGAAGAGGCAATTAGTAGATGCCTTTCTGCCTAGTAGTTAACTATATTTTCTCGCACACGAGCATTGGATTATCGCCAGCCGTTATCGTCACCGGCCATCCACCGATTAGATAATTCGATCCACAGCTGCCCCGCGTCGAAGTTGTGTCACAGTATCTCTTCTGCTGGGTCGTCAACTCCTGACCGTCTTTTCCTCGATAGTGTCTTGAGTGCTCAATTGCTTCCATAGGTTGTCTGTCGTTTCCTGGCATCTTCCCAAGTTCACAGCAAGACCTTTTCCTATTCACACGACCCCTGTCGCCTCCATCGATTACCCCACACTACTCAGCCTGCAGCCAAGACAAAATGGCCTCTGCTCCTCGAGGAAGACTCCAAGGCAAGAATGCCATCATCACTGGTGCCGCAGGGTAAGACATCTTCCAATCACCCAATTGACATACTGATCCCCCGCAGAGGCATCGGTCTCGAAACCAGTATCCTCTTCGCCCGCGAAGGCGCCAATGTCCTGATGGCCGATATCTCCGCCCCCGCTCTCGAGAAAGCTCTGGCCAAAGTGAAAGAAGTCGTCCCGAACGCGCCCCGAATCGAAACAATCAAGTGCGATGTCTCCAAGGAATCTGAAGTCCAGGCCATGGTCGAGTCTCAGGATAGCTGGGGTGGAACGGACGTGATCTTCAACAACGCGGGCATCATGCACGCTGACGACGCCGATGCGGTCGATACACCCGAGAAGATCTGGGATCTGACTCAGAACATCAACGTCAAGGGCGTCTGGTTTGGCTGCAAGCATGCGGTGCTGAGTCTGCGTCGTCACAAGAAGAACAGGGGTAGCATTATCAACACGGCGAGTGTGGTTGCTCTGGTGGGGAGCGCAACGCCTCAGCTGGCCTACACAGCCAGTAAGGGCGCTGTTCTTGCCTTGACTCGGGAGCTGGCGATCGTCCATGCTCGCGAGGGTTTCCGGTTCAATGCTCTCTGCCCTGCTCCGCTCAAGTAAGCTCCTTTTATGGCTAGACAGCGAAAGTTTGCTAATCGCGTACAGCACTCCCCTTCTGCAAGACTGGCTGGGTGATGATCAGCCCAAGCGTCACCGCCGCGAGGTCCACTTCCCGACAGGCCGGTTCGGTGAGGCCATTGAACAGGCGCATGCGGTCGTGTTCCTTGCTAGCGACGAGAGCAGTTTCGTCAATGGAAGCGATTTTGTTGTAGATGGCGGCATGACCAAGGTAGGGCTCTTATCTGATTGCTTCGACGATCATGCTGACATATGACAGGCTTACGTTACCCCTGAAGGCCCCGCGACCGCTGCTCCTAAGAACCTTGGCCATTAATCTCATCTCGAGTAGCTATCAATTTATATACCATGAGCCTAATCAGCATATTTTTTGTTTGGTGGGTAGATATAGTATACACCTCATTCAAAAGGCAAATAACTCCAAACTGCTACAGCCAGGTCTTCCAACCCCTCGCGCTGAAACACCAAATCTCCTTCTGTATCACCACTCGCAGGCCGCAAAAAAAGTTCCTCAAATTTGATTCTCAGCGCATCCTCAGCAATAACAACCACCCCTTCCTCATCTCCAGAGATTCTAACATCCTGCTCCTTGATCAGAGAACCAACCCTCTGCGCCCAGTTCTCAATGACAACCCGCGCCGTTTACTCACCCTAACAATCAACACCCATCGCACCAGTCCGTCCGTGACCAAACCACCACTCCTTGTGCAGCCGCAACCGACCCAGCATATCCTCAAACGCCGTCTTAGTAACGTAGTTTGGCCATTTGCGTCGTAGTCGAAGCGTTTGCCCCGCCACGTACGAGGCATTCGGCTCTTTGGCATAGGGCCCATCTTCCACCGTTGCTGAACCTGTCGGGATGAGTTCCCTGCGAAGACCCATTTTAAGCATCCTATCCCAATAAAGTCTGTAAAGTAGCCGGTTGCAATCTCGAGTGGGAGCTTGGACGGGTTGATGATCAGTTTGCGTACGTCTGCGTTGTAGAACATGCGTAGGAGCTTGGGATCGCCGCCTGCGTGTCAATGATAAGTTTGGTGATAGCATCTGGGGGCACGGAAGAGACGCTGATGACATCGATATCAGGGGTTTGGTCCAGTTGGCGGCGCAGTGCGAATTTGATGTTTTGATGTTGGAAGCGACTAGCTCGGGGTTGTTGGCTGGGAGTTCAGTGAGGAAATTGGAACTGAAGTCGAAGGGTGTGGCCATTTTGTAGTTATTGATTAGGGGATGTAGAGATGGAGTGAAGTCGAGGCAGGATTTTGACGTGAACCATGGTAGGTATGACATTCTACAATGGTGAGGTTGTTAGGGTTTGCATGGGACCTTCTGATATGTTTTCAGGGGTCATTCGGTATACTCTGCTTATTGGGGTCTCCTCAGTCGGGGTTAATGAGTCAGTACTTGATTTGAGATCCTAAAATATACTATAATGCTTGTACTAAATAATAAACGTCCGTTCAATAATCCAGTGAACATGAACTGGTCGATTTCGATTTACTGTATTAGGGCCTCGCACTCAATTGCATGGGCTCTCTGACTCCTCATCCTGTCGCTCTGTTCTCCTTGCCGGAAATACCATTCCTCGATCCGATCTGATGGAGCATCCTGCGTGGAGGCCGTGTATGTGGGCCATTATCGGCGTCTAAATGACCCGTCTTTTAATGGCATCATAGTGTCTAGCGGCAGGCTTGCCCCATGGGAACTTCTCTAGGTTCTCTCCTGGTTCCCTCTTTCAGATACATTCATGTTAGACCCACGTCAAGAGTTCGAAGCGCTTCGTCAATTCATTAGACCAGACCACGTCCAAACTAGTAACGGCTGTCTATCCAATCTGCGTGTACCCTAGCATCTTTCGCATACTGCCTGAAGCCAGGGAACAATGACAAATTGACAGTCCCCGTCTGTTGTGGGTATGATGCTCCGTCGATGGACACACTTTGGGTCAACAGGTTTGATCTTCTGCTTGTGAGTCTCTTGGTTTCCATGACGTGACATTGGTGGTTACCGAGAGCTTCAAAGATCCCGAGCAGCAAATCGATTCTCAGGCCCTTTGGGAGTCACCCCTGCGGCTGGAACTCTGATGCTGATCGCTGCAACAGCGTCCTTGACCCGCTTCCGGCGTGCAGCCCTCTCACTCGGCGATTCTTCTCTTGGGCGCTGGTGTGGACCCTGCGGTGTCATGCGCGCCTTTTATGCGCTCAACATTTCCCTCTGCGCCCTAAGCTCCGCTAGCCACGTATCGATGAGCGCCGTTTTAGGGCTGTCGAAGGACAAATCCTTGATAAAGCTGTGTAGAAGATTGACTGTATCATCCGATGGAGGCCGAGGCGTATAACTTGACAACTGCTGTTTAGATAGGGCTTCATCGGCATGACGCTCTTCCAGCTCTGATGGTACTGAAGATAGAGAGGTACCCAAAGAAAGAAACGAGATGCAAGGGAGCTTTCTATACCCCATCCTTCCCATTTCAATCTGGGCTATGGCTCGCAGCTTATCTGCGTCCAGAGGCAGAATATCCCCTGGACTAGCGCCAGGTCTGACCGACTGGCCAAAAACACCCGCCGTGTTAGACTATTGTCTAAGTGCCCGGTGCTACCCCTTGTGGAATCGGGCTATTGCGAAAGGCATTAAGGCCGGCCAAATATGTCGTAAAGGAGCAAGTCTTGCTTGCAGAGATAGGGCTATATGGTGAAAACTGATCACCACTTCCCGACGCGGCCAGTACCGGGATCTTGGTGCTTATCTCGCGACTTCAGCATTCTAGAAGAACCGCAAGATTCCATAGTACGTTCGACAGGTGCGGAGCAGGATCTCCCAATCTAAGGGGCCGTCTCGCGGTGGTCTGTACATGATATCAGGAAAACTATCAGCCGTGCATGATGTATGCGTTTTCCCGTTGTGCAACTGGAGGAGCTCAGGTTCATCACATCAGAAAGAAGAGGCAAAAATGAAAGGTGAGGTTGGGGTATCCATTTCATTCTTTGCTGCCGGATCAGCCTTTCTTTCGTTCATTTTTCATCTTAAAAATTTTTTGGACCAGGCCTTTAGCTCGGAGACCACCAAGTATTTTTTTTTTTTTTTTTTCCTGCCGAAGCAGCCTTCCTTTCCTCAATCTTCTTGTCAAGCATTCCCTCGATCTCGCTTTTTGGGATAGGAACCGGCGTTTTTACTTGAGAGGCTTCTGGTCATCATCGTTCTTCTTAACCTTAGCAGAAGGAGTGGTCTGCTTTGACTTGAGCTGTGTAAACCACATCATTAGTATCCATAGATGATCAAGATGTGGCTTTATCTTTGATAGATTTACCTTGAGCGTAGCCAGAAGACACAGGATAGTCTTAAGAACTGAACAGTTGTCTTCGGTAGCACATGTTTCGACGTTGCACGTGCACTATATTACCTTCATTAAGCATTAATTGCAGAGATTCCACAACGTTGCTTATAGCAGGCATACCTCGCCGTCGAGGTTGAACTGACCGACGAGAAAAGTCAAAGGCTTTGCCCGCCATTTCTGGAGCAACCTAGCCAACACCAAGATTAATTATGACCTGGAGAGCCACGGGTAATTGCAGACTTGTCGGCCGGAGGTAGATTATACCAGCCCCTGAACTGGGATGGTGGTGATCCAGGTGCCTATCGTTGCTATGATAGCATCATTATAACGTCTTCAGTGGGAAGAAAGAAGACAAGTAGCCGAGGTGGGGAGAACGAAGAACGAATGGTCATTTGGGGTTCCATGCTAGCTGGTTGAAGAGAAAGAAGATTGCTCAGACAGTGGATGTGAGACCAACCATGGACTATCAAAGATGCTCCTGAGAATATATCCAGAAGTCCATGTATAGGCTTAAGGAGAGATGCTGAACCTGACAAGCAGAAGGAAACCCGAAGGCTAAATATTCTATATCATATCAGTTTATTCACTATCAGAAAGCAAATGAATCAGCTATAGATCATTCTCATTCACCATATTCCCTGAAACAAACAAAGCAGTGAATCTACAGCTCAACGCTACTCATTGGCCAGCCATTAATCGCATTATATGCCTCCAACGGCGTCGTCCCATGCAGCACCTCATAATGCCTCCTCTCTCCACAAGCCTTCTGCCCTTGCAACGTAACACATTTGTCCTGTAGCAGCGCAGCAACATGCTCTCCCACTTCTTTCCCCTCATACCAAGCCCCATGCGCAAATCCAAAATACGCCGAAGAAGTCGCCTCCCCAGCAAACCACAGCCGCTGTACATTCGCTCTGAGATTCTGGTGAATTTCCAGCGTCGTACCAACCGGCCAGTTGGAGTAGCTCCCATACGCCCAGGGCTCTTCCGACCAGCGCGGGTAGAAGAACGCTTTTGGCTCGGGAACGTGCTTGTCAGGGAACATCTGGCGAAGGACGTCGAGTATCTCAGCTTGCGTTTCATCGTCGGATTGCCTCTCAACCCGGTAGGCTTCTGTATCCACGACCGTCACGAACAAGATGTTGGACCCGGGGAGGAAACCCGCCAGTGACAGAGACTGGAACACGGGAAAGTACCCTCTTGTCGTCGGCGACGCATACAAAAAGAACTGCGTATCGTTCGGCCAGAACATCTCCTCGAACTGCATGAAGATCTTGGTATACGTGCCCATGGTGTACTTGTGAATAGCGGTTTGTTTCCACGCAGGCAGTGCAGGACGGAAATTAACTGCATCGTTCTGCAGAACACCAAGGGAGAATGTGCAGATGGCGTACGCGGCTTCCACACAGCTACCGTCCCTGTTGCGGATGGTGACGCCTTTGTCGGAGTACTCAATGTCCATGACCTGTGTCTGCAGCCTGACCCGGGGATCCATCCTCGGATCGCCATTCTCGCTATATAGGAATGTCGCGGCCTCGCCGTTGATAATGGCACTGTAGCCGCGCGGATCTATGACCAGCTCGTTCCGCAATCCGAATTGTTGGAAAGTGATATTCTCGCTGGCGAGTCCGAAGACAAGCGAGCTGGTGTCAGGTGTCTGGGCAGATTCCCAGTCTACAACCTAGATCAGTGATTCGACCTCGAGCTGAGGGGGGAGTCGTACCCCAATTCCACCATTCCACTGCCTGCGCTGCCGAATCATCCTTCCGTGGTCGCCAACCGGCCAGTGCGAGGCCAGTCCGCGCCGTCTGATCCTGCAGGTTCTCGGTCATGATGCGTCCAGCTTCCCTGGAGGCGGTGCGGTAGGCCTCGGCATACTCGCGCAGGAGATGTCGGTAGTCGGTGAAGCCGGTTTCATTGTAGGTGCGTATCGAGCTGTAGTTTGAATGTGTGACGGACAAGTTGTGCTTTCTGGCCTGGGGCTGTCAATATTTGCCGTGGTTCGGAGGAGAGACGCACCAGTTGCCAAATAGGGTTCTCTGAGCTTGTTAGCATGAAGGGATATTGAGTTGGACAATACACACCTCTCACACCCATTCCAACTCCATGTACCTATGCCGGTCAACTTTTGTTCTACGCATGAAGTTCGAAGAGCGGCATACCCAGTTCGCCCCCAGCTCAACCACATACGGGTTCCCATTCTCGTCCTCCCCAAATTCCTCGTGTCTCAATCTACCTCCAAGTCGGTCTGTATACTCAAGGATAAGAAAATCATCAATGGATGCATTTGCCAGCGCTTGCTGTTACGGTCAGTCAATTTCATCTCATATGGAAAGATAGTACTTACAGCGGCAGTAATCCCTGTCACTCCTCCTCCTCTTCTACCGTCAGCACTTGCTGATATACCAGGATAAACACTTACAAGATGGCTACGGTAGTCCTCGTACACCTCCCATCATCCCTCAAAGGCACCTGCTGCGCCACATATCCCTCACAATTCTGCAGTATCGAACCCGTTACAAAAGGAAGTACATATCTCAACCGCATCTTCATCAATACCACTCAACAGTTCGGTAGACAAGACAGAAAAGCCTCATCTGAATCGCCCGTCATATTTATCTTATCGTTCAAAACAGCTAAGAGCAAAAAAAAAAAAATGAAGAATGAGGCGTAAAACGGACCACTGACACCTCTTTGTACCACTTCCGGGCACATGATCGACAGGCGGGATATCTTGTGATCGAATCAAACGATGCCTTGGCATGTAAGGCTTATCGGGGCCACTAGGACTTGTCCACAAAGGATAACAAGAGTGACGAAGCGGGTAAGTCCAGGCGGAATGGTCATGATTAAAGAAGGTATTGGTTGGTTTGCTGAGGGTTTGAAATTGAGGTGCAAGTTTGTTGGTGGCTGTCGGCCACTGATGAGGTCGGAATAGAAGTAAGGGAGGTACATACAACTTTAGGCGGGGACGAACTTGATGAGTTCTCTTGTTTGAAATTATCAGATGATCAGCTGGATGCTTCTTGTCTAGTATCCTCGTGATTATTTCTACTATGCCTGACAACCAGGAGAAACTATATACCACGCAAAGACTTTAAGCACAGGTGTACTCCGAATAGGCCCGTCTTTGCCAATAACCCTAGGAATCTGGCCCTTGGACTTGCAGGAAAGGACAAGTACCTAAATCAAGCCAAGAGATCATTCGGCTATAGTCGTCCATTTCAGAAGTAAATCGTCCACCGCATCAGCAGCTTCCTTGGCTTCTAGCTCTGTCTTCGTATCGGGAACTGAGATATCAAGATAGACCTCGTAGCCAGCCAATGGCGTTGCCTCGCCCCTGCGAGGAGCCTGTCGTTGTCGAGTAAGGTGGTTGACCTGCCGCCCGATCGTTCTGGTAATAGGCTGGCCTTCCGACGGAGCATGACGAGAAGCCATGTTAGGACTGATACGCCGAGGAATGCCCTCAATAGTTCCTTCGTAGTCGGAGAAAGGCGGTATTCTGTCATAGACCATTTCAATCGGAGGAGCAGAACGCTCGATCTGACCAGCGTACGGGTTAAAGCCCGATGGCTGTAAAGGTAGACGATCCCTATCATATGACTCGGAAGGCAACCTCCTATGGCGTGTAAGTTCCTCGTCTCGCCTTCTTTTGCGTTCTCGTCTTTCAGCCTCCTCAGTGTTGTCGTCCTCTTGATTGTGTGTATCGACGACCTCCGTTTCAGGAGCAAGGCTAAAGAGCGGATCCTCGAATAGTCGAGTAACAATCTCGCCGTGAGCCCGTCGAAACCCTTCAACCTCGGCTGCATGCGCCTTGACCACTCCGTTTCTGAATCTCAAATACCGGCTCCGCTCAATGCCCGACCTGCTCGCATCCACTTCTTGGAGGAGCCGCTTAATCAGCTGGTGATACGTCCGAAGTTCACGTAATGCGTCCTCCTGTGCCAGGGACTCGTACGGAGGGAGCGCTTCTTGCCCAGCTGATCCCTGAGAGTGGTTGAGATTGGCAGACCCAAGATCCTTGACCAATTGGTCGAATCGCCGTAACTCCTCGAGTCGCGCCTCGCTCGCCTTCTTCTCCTCCACCAGCACCTTGATCAAGCCCTTCTGCTCCTGGAGAACAGACGACTCCGCCCGACTGCAGAACCGTCAGCTCATTCACTACCTCCCAAAAGCGCAAATACTCACCTCCGCAACTGCCCCGCATACATAATCACATTCAACAGAAGCAACATTGTCGACTTCAACCTCTCCAGATTGCCCTTCAACATATCCAGCTCCCTCTCCATCAACACAAAACCCAACCGCCTGGCTGCCCGCTGAATGGCATTTTTCGTCGCATCCGCCCGCGACTCATCAACTGCCGCACTGATCCGCCTAAAGACCTTCTCGCACTCACGCAGCACCTCCTGCGCGGTCTCGAACGCCTGCGCAGAATACAGCCGCGTCTGCTCGTCCTGCTTCAGATTCTCGCCTAGTTGACGGAGGATGCTGCAGGTGAGCGCAACCTCACTTGAGAGACTCTGCGCCGATTGGTCGGCGGATTTGAGCTGGCGGTAGAAGGTGCACAGTTTGACGGAGACGGTGGCGCCGAGGTCGGCGACCTGGAGGATGCTGGCTGCTATGCCGAGGATTTCGAGGCCGGACATGCTTTTCCCACGGTGTTAGGGGATCATTTGGGATGGTGCTGTACTAAGTCAAGAGAGTAGCGTGGTATTGTGTGAGTGGTGTGTTGGGGGAACAGGCTGAAGCTGATACCCCGCTCGCTTTGTCGATTTCGCATAACGCCCTAATCAGCTACGTAGAAACGACTCCGTAAGTCCCACCGTCTTGGATCCATCATAAACTGCCGATCATCTCCATGTCAGAAATGCCTAAAATTCTGCTTATTCATGTTGTTTAATGAGGTCTTGTTTTCTTCTACAGCGGTATTTTCTATTTCTGATTAGCGAGATAGATGACTAAATAAAAGATGGCTGTGATGTCACAAGAACACAATGCTTGATAATATACTCTTGTGTCAGTAGAACACGTACTAGATAAGTCTTCAAGATTTCTTATTTAACAGAATAGTGACAATGCTGGGCTAAGGCGGAACAATATGCTGAATCAATAACCATGGACCGCAGCTTGCTGTCAATAGATCAAGCTTTCTCCCCCGCTGAAAAGATGGCCTAACCATGGTTTGTAGCCACAGCATAGGATCTAATTAGACGATGATGTAAACGTGATATACGCCCTGATACACTCAACCTTGTATTGGGGACAATAAAACGGCATAGCTTTGACTGCATCTCAGTCTACTCAGCATACCATAGATCTAATCCACCTTTCAATGATAACAGCATGTACGCATACGCAAGTAGCATACACTCATTCCAACGACGGATCTCAGAGCACCAGAAAAAGAGATGGCAGGAAGAACAGAAATTCGCCGCCTGGTCGGGTCCTACTTCAGAGGTATCTCGTCGTTCGGTCACTAATGCCGCAAACAACTGACGATTTAGGTCCTGTACACCGGCATCACCGCTAAAAAGGTCGACGAACAGAGTATTCACCTTGTAATCGCCGTCCGAGACGCAGTCTACCCGCTGGACTTTCTTGAACATCGATTCCATATCCCCGGGAAGAACCTCGATGCCAACATCACGGATTTTATCCTCGAGCAGCTCCGGAACTATAGCCTAGATCATGCGGAAAAGTTCATCGGTACATGTCTTCCGGCGGAGTTGACAGAAATGTGTCCCCGACTGGCCTCCCGGCTATGGCTAGAGCTCGATGTGATGCCGCTGGTGCCGCAGCATGACGCGCTGGGCGGTCGCTACGAGCAGGAAATTCCATGGCAGACACGGGATGCAGATGAGCAAGCGGAGTATCTGGCCATGAAATGCGTGAGGTATATTCGGCAACACCACTGGGGGTGGATCTCGTTAACGCAAGCAGATTATTCGGACCGAATAATATACCACTCCTGCAAGTTGGATTCCGCGGTCTAGTCGAAGTGGACTCTGGATTCATGATGCATCTGGCAACGCTCGACGATTACAAAGGCACAGTTAGCGAGAGAACATGGATGGCGCTTGAACGGCTTGCAGCACCGGTTCGAGAGCAGAGAATCCGAATTGCCCTCTTCAGCGCAACACCCCAGGGAGGCGGAGTCGCCCTCATCCGCCATGCCTTCCTTCGACTGAGCAAGCTCCTGAACCTGGACGTGCAATGGTACGTGCCACAACCGCGATCCGGTGTCTTCCGTATCACCAAGATGAACCACAATATCTTCCAAGGCGTCGCAAAACCCAACGACTATCTGACCGCAGAGAATGAGGAACAACTTAGACGATGGGTAGGCGTCAACAGCAAACGTTCCTGGTCCTGTCCTGGCGGACCTCTCGACCATCCGTCCAACGGCGGAGCACATATCGTCGTGGTAGACGACCCGCAACTGCCAGATCTGATCCCTATTGCGAAGGAAAAGGCACCAGACCGGCCGGTGATCTTTCGCAGCCACATCCAGATCCGAGTCGATTTGGCGTGCACGCCTGGGACACCTCAGGCCAGATCATGGGACTGGCTATGGCACCGTGCGCAGCAAGCCGATGTGTTTATCAGCCATCCCATTCCAGACTCCGTGCCGACTACCGTGCCGAACGCGATGATCGGCCACTCTCCCGCCTCGACGGACGTGTTGGACGGACTCAATAAGGAAATGATCGATTCGGATGTCGCATACTACGGCCGGCTGTTCAACCAGTGGTGCCACGAGTCAGGAATGCCAACGATCGATTACCCAGCTGACGAGTACTTTGTGCAAATCGCCCGGTTTGACCCGTCGAAGGGAATAATCGATGTCTTGGACTCGTATCACAAGTTCCACACGCGTCTGACAAAGGCTAAGCCTGACAGTAAGATCCCGAAACTAGTCATCTGCGGACATGGGTCTGTCGACGATCCAGATGCAAGTGAAATGTTCGACAAGTCCATGGATCATATTCATAAAGCAATGCCTCATCTCGCCGATAAGATCGCCGTTGTTCGTGCGAAGCCATCTGACCAGGTCCTGAACGCCATTCTTTCCAAGTCAAAAGTTGTTCTTCAGCTCTCCACCCAGGAAGGCTTTGAAATCAAGGTGTCGGAAGCACTCCGCAAAGGCAAACCCGTGATTGTTACGGACGTTGGTGGCTTGCCGTATCAGGTTATCGATAAAGAGACAGGATTTATTGTCAAAGCAAGGGACACAGACCGAGTCGCAGAATGCCTCTATCATTTGTGGACCGACGCAGACTTGTATCGGCGAATGCAGGAAAAAGCTCCTAGCTCGGTCAGCGACAATGTAACGACGGTTGGTCTGGTCAGCTCGTGGCTGTATATGATTCGGAAACTCCTTGCGGACCATTCATGGAAACCTGGGAATCGACTACTATTCGATCTGATGCTCGAAGATTTAGGCCTAGCATCAATTCACACTTGAGCCGCTCCAGATCAATCTCTCGTTTCCTCCGCGAGCTCGATGTCCCCCAGCTCCGGATGCTCCCTCTTCTCAATCAAGAGGTTCAGGATAGCCGCCTGGCAGTGCTTGATAGCGCAGAATATTGTCGAATGAAGTCCAACCTCCTTCCTAAATTTGAAGCTCAACCACGTCATAGTGCTCTTTTCGAATTGCACAGAGAAACGGGAGAGGATCGATACTCCTCATTTGGCAAACATGTTTTAAAAAAAGCTGTATCATCTGCATGGTACCGCGACCAGCGGCAAAGCACAGCTCCCCTGGTTGGATTGATCAAAGCCATTGTTCAAAAAGGCGCTCGACAATTTGTGTGTCACGTAGAAAGACAACTCGCCCCGACGCAGACATTTGTTCATGTAGAAAATCCTTTGCACAACTTCAAAAAGGGCTCTTATGGCTTGTTGCGTATGTGACAGATCATGACCAAGAAGAGAGATCTTTAGAAGTCAGAGCTGACGAAAATAGTGTTGACGCGGAGGACGTGCTGAGGTTGATGTCCTCAGGCACACCATAACTGTGAGAATTGGCCCATCATTGGATATACTACCCTATAGCAAGAGAAGTGAAAATCATCCGGGATGTTCTGTTGAGTGTCATTATAACAGCATCTGCTGTAAACTTAGTATAGATCAAGCTTAGTACTGCCATTGAGACTAAATCATCTCTCATATGCCTGCCAAACAGTACCAAAGTGAGAGTTAGTAGGGGTCGAAAATCCTCTCAACGTCATTTCAGGTGGCCCATCGACGTAGGGTGACATAACGCATATATTGCAAGCTGGAACATGCAGGGCGGAGCAGATATTAATTGATAAATAAACACATTGAGAAAGCCTATGTCGAATCATGCTATCCCTGACAGCACGTCCACCACTCGGACAAAGATCATTCCCTCATTTATGTTCTGATCCGCAGCCGTACTGACCAACGCAATTTCCCCCTCAAACACGCTAAATATCATTATTGATTAAAGCCAAGCTGATTGGCCGTCCACGAACCGATCGTAGTGAGGTACTGAATGGAACCCCCGCAAAAGCCCCATTATTTATTCCTCCTTTCCTCCGCAGTTTCTCCTCTTCGGGAATAGGGTCATATGATGATCAGGCCATTGTAACGCCACTCCCGCAGCATCAGGTTATCTCTGCAAGCACTGCCTCAATCCCCCTGAATAACATATTACCCTCTCTATTCCCAGATCGGTCCTCTCAATTCTTCAACCGCACCAACAACAGCATCAAGCAATATTCAATAATCACCACAAACGAGACACCCCAAAATGTCCTCATTCGCCACACCTTCCCCGCACTCCCCACGGCCATTCTTCAAGCGGCCCGCCTACCCCAGCTTCAAAGTAGGGAGGGTAGGAAAACTGTACGTTTCTGCGTAGTTATCAATGGATAGTTACTGATATAATAACAGATATCTCCCAGCAATGGCTGTTATTGCAGCCGGTACGTCCGACCCTGCAAATCTTCCCAACACAACTGACATGATCCAGGATTCGGCATAGCCAATTACCTCACTGAAGTTCAAGCGCAACAAGCTCGTTACCAACTCCAAGAGGAAGAACGAATCCGACAGTATCAAAAGTTGATGGACGCGTACGGGGATAAGGACAGTCTACATGATGTCCAGCATGCGCTGGAGGTTTACGAGATCCAGTAACCCCCTGGCGGCAATGCATAATGATTGATGATAAGCGGTGTTTGGTTTTCATATATATTGCGTCTGACAATCATCGTTCATGGTCTTGCGGGCAGGATTATGAGTCGCTGACTTGTGGCATTTCTGTTCCTCTCTATTGAGGTAGCGCCGTGATACTTTATCCGACTTTGAGACTGGTGTCTTGCATTTTGGCCTCGTGCCACGGTGGCCTCAAAATTGCGTTGTGTTATCTACTATAAACGTTCGATTACAATGCATTATCCAATTCATCAATACTTCTTCACAGTTTCAATGCGAACCAAATGATGAGCAGATTGAGATAATTCAATCTTAAATTGGCCATATAGGCATAAAATATCTATGCTCGTACATTGAGCCAGTGCTGCGGCCAACAGTGATTGGCACGTGACTCTCCGCGGGCTGCCGTCCTGTGATGTACGTCACTCCCCAACTCAAGTGGGTCTGATCAAACAGTGTCGGTGTTAACATCTGAAAAACATCAAAGAGGTATACAAGATATGGAGCCAGAGCAGAAGAGACAATCAAATTCCGGGGTAAGCCCCATATACACTATATCTATAGTTTACTCGCTAAGCTAATATATTCTAGCCAGCCTCCAAGGACTACGAAGGTCTCCTTCGCGCCTATGGAAGGCTTCCTCAAAGAGGGAGATTACTTGACCAGCAGGCCAAGGTACGTTTATCGAGATATAAAGCAACCGTCTTGTCTGACGCGTGAAAGGAACGAAAATACTTTGACTCTGGAGATTTTGCCCTTTCCACAGCTGACCGAGAAACTGATGTCGGGGCAATCCATACTGGCCGAGCCCATCCTCAGCGGGGCAGCGTTTCGCATCCCTACGCCCCAGTTCCTAGCTCTAGTAATGCCGATGAAGATGCTAACAAGGATATTCGCGACAAGGCGTTTTCAAGCCTGAAAATGACAGAGAGTCCTCTTCATCAGCATAGTGATGTTGATGATACGAAGGCGCAGAAACTGGAGAAACCAAAACTTGATTGATATTCACGCGTATTGAGATTCTCACAAGCGATTAAGACTGGATTGTACCTGAATCCTTGTTAACTACATGATAATCAGCCTGCATGCGCTGCTAGTCACAGTCATCTAAGCCTCCTAGTGTATAACTCAGGAGCTGACTCTCATATCATTCGCATTTGAGCTGATTTCGCGCAGACGTAAATGAGTATATATGTACGATCACTCTAGGCATCTATTCATGAAAACGAATATCCCCAAAACAGGGCAAACTATAACGCAAGCTCGGCGAAATATATGATATGGTAGATATACAAATGAGATCAACGACGACGCCATTCCGTCCCTCTAGGAACAAACCGCACAGGAACTTTCTCGTACATTTTGAAGCTCGTCATATTTCTTCTGTCGTCCAGAGCCTTCCATGCGTTTTCGCGCATCGGGCTCCATACGGCCTCGGATGGTGTAGACCCCTCTGGCGGTACCAACTCGATCGAGCAATCTTTCAGTAATGTCCGCAATCACGGCACAGAATTCCGCCTGTCCAAACCCTTTGCCCAGACAATCGCGGTGACCATCGCTGAAGACGATAAAGGCGCCCTTCCGGGGACATAACGTATTCGAGTGATACTTTGAGTGGCTGACCGAGTTCGTCGGTGGCTCGTACGTCTCGTCCATGAGCCACCGCGAGGGCGGAAAACATTTGCATCTGCCCCCCAGTATCGAAGATTGCGGTGGACGGCCACCACGGCCACCACGTCCAGCACGATGCTGGTATTTGGGGGGATATCGAACGTTTGGCCATTGTAGTGCGCAATCTGACGCGTGTCGCTGTCCATTTGGGAAACCCGCATATCGATGGGAATAAGCGGAGGGTTTCCAGCTAGGCAAAGATTAGTGGAAATTTACGCAGATGCAGATGGGATGGTTATTCACTTACCATCAAGGCCATACCTCGTCTCATGTTCGGATAATCTAACTCATAAACAAGTCCTTCTCCTTCCAACTTTCCTCCGCAAATCACATCTAGTACCTCATGGATCACTTGCTGGAGTCCAGGATGCACCGCTAACAGGACCAGAGCTGTTATGTTATAGTTGCAGTGGTCTCGTCGCCAGCAAGAGCGAATATGAAGACATTTGATGTGATTTCTTCATCGCTAAGACCGCCATTGTCTAAGCCATAGGAGATACCATCGCTATTGATCATATTGTTGAGCAGATCATTTCTCCAGGGTGATTTTTGCATATAATCATCCGGTCTTGCTTCGTCAACTGCCTGTTGAACATGTTTTGCCAAGATGTTGGGCGTTTTGTGGACTCTTCGCAGATGCGCTGAGGGTGAAAGCTTCAGAAGCCACGCTGGGAATTCCCCCAGCTGAATAGCAGGTATTTGAACAGCGGTGCGATGTAAGGTGAGATCACATAAACTAAGGGCGAATAACAAGGGGTCTACGTAGATCCAGACACTTGGCAGAGGAGTCAAACCTTTGAGGTGCAGTGCTTTTTGGAGTATCAACACGTACCAGACGACGTATCTCAATGTGATGGCGAGGAGCGCCAACCAACAGATTATTGTTACCAAGTTCATAGTCTGGGGTGAGAGTAGATTTTCTTTGATTTAGTCTCCATTCCAGAGCCAAAAGTCGTTGGTACGTAAGGCAGCTCGCAAGTGCCGACAGGCTCAAGCATACGGCAGGCCTTGCCCGCTACAGGTAACTTACTTATTACTATTACGAAGTAAACTAATCTAATTACCTCCCTTGTATATTAACATGGAATGTATTATTTTAAGCTAAAACATAAAGAATGATTTAGTTAATCCTATGGATAGTTCATAAAGAAATAATACTATCTAAATACTAGATCTAGCAATCAATATATCTTAATAATAGTTAATCTATTTAGTTATAATAATAGGTGCTAAGTTCTGCTAGCTAAGTACTTCTATAAATAATCTAAGGAAGCGAGGATGTAATATCAACATATATATATATAACGTAGAAGGAGTCTATACGAGTGTGCAGAGGATATTTAGTAGATATTATGAATATATACATATTACATTCCTTCATAGCTCAGGTAGAATTATAAAAGGGGGGCTAGAATCCCTCGACATTGGCGAGACATGTACGGGGCGGCCTCTGGCTTATCCCCTACCCTCGCATCATTCGGGGACTGGTTCTCTCAACCACATTATGTGTGTGTCATAACTAGCCGCATGCGGACGTCCCAAATAACATATGTTCCTCTGTTTGTCTGAAAAGGAAGGCATGTGTCCCTATTGTGTGACCATAGACCCAGCCAAGCAAACCAACACATGAGGCGATTAAAATTTAGTAAATTAACTGTCCTTTCTTCAAACCACGAATGTGAACTTTTAGCGACCCATCACAGAGGGCTGTATGCTTCCATCTCTTGAGCAAATAGATTTAAGTAAATTACTTAGAAGGTATTCCTGACTCTATAGTGCACTGTTAATCTTTTTAACTGGGCTTGAGTGTTAAATAATTTATTGGAAAATGACACTATATCTGGTTTGAACACGTGATATTCATCCAGCCCTCTACAGACAAAAGTATTTCGAGACTGCCATTCATTATTGCCTTACTATGTAGTAATTGAATGTAAGAAAGTTAGTACCTAGGATTAAGTCTAATTCAACCCAATGAAATGTTACTGGGAGTCTGGGACATGAGTCAAAACGAAACGAACTTAACCTTTGGGTCCTCCCGACACTGCCATTTTGAATTTTGCGCGGCACCCTTGCTTTTGGATTCAGTATCATAGTCTTCAAGGCCTGAGGCTCCCTGGTATGATATCAAAACCCGGACGAATGCGTACCAGCTTGAAAGAATTGGCAGAAACTAGGTCAAATGTGGCTCATGCGGTGCTCATGCTCACACCTCGGGATCTGGTGGCGCGGCCAGTTGGCGCAATTGGTTTGGTGTTTGATCCCAGAGATATCGAGTCCCACAAAATGATCAGCTTTGTGCCAAACCTAAATAATAAAAGTAGCATTGACCTATTATCCTTGATGTTGGTGGTACGTGAATAGAATAACTATTAAATGTCCCCCGGATATCCTACATGTCTGGTTCCCGGGGCTTGTGTAACGCGACAGCTAATCAAGACGTCACCTGCGCAATAATAATCATTCAGATATAGCTGCTCTCGGAGATACTTATAACAGGTTCTTACTTACAGCTTTGTCTCTATCTCATGGGCTGGGCTGGTCTAGAACTGAGTCTGTGATATCACCAGGAGTACAATGATTAAGTTCTGACGCACTGTATACTTCTGTCAGACAGTGCCGTGCGAACACATTAATGTAATAGTGGGAGATGGACATGCTGATATGCTATTTAGTGATATACTCCACTTCCGAGGCTTCCTATGGGATAGAGCTGCCATATATTCTCCACATGGATCTATGTATTTAAATGAGCAACCATCTCTTTGTATCTCAGCACCTACGACTTTTTGTTGTTCATTTTCGAGACAATATAATATCTTAAGGCCTTCCAGCATATCCCTTGTACTACACAGAACTAGCACAATACATCATGCCTGCTACACAAGGCAGAGTTAAGAACGGCCCATATGGTGGACTCGGCGGCGGCTACTACGATGAAGAGCATGGAGAACATAAAATCAAGAAGATTGATGCCTGGGGACGGAGCTATAAGGGATACGATGTTCTGAATGGATTTCAGTTCACCTGGTTTGACAACCATCAGGGCCACCTCATCGGTCACAAGAACAACAACCTTTACAGCGGATTTGAGTTTCAGGATGATGAAAGGATAAACAGGATGATTGTCTATGCTGGAGATGGTGAAGGCTATGTCAATGGCTTTGAATTCGATACAAACAAGGGCCACCACTATTCGATTGGTGGAAAGGAGGGCAAAGTTAACCATCTTAACCACCTTGGGACTGGTTACTTGATTGGAGCGGACGGCAGAGATAGAAGTCACGGCTCTGGAGAGGTTGTGGATAGTATGGACATTTACTTCAAGGCCTGAGGGCCTGTTATCTATTGGCGATGGCTCTGGTTTACATGCTGTTATATTTTCGTTTACTCATAGGCATGAAATGCCTTGGTATGGGTTTTTCCTCGGTGTACACTGTTTTTCCCATGCTGTCATGCAAATGCAAAGGCTACTAAGTACACACTGTTGAAAGTGCCGTATTCTTTGTTGATCTATCTGCAATGAAAGCTCCAAACCTGGCTATCAAACCTCCAGCCCCCATCTTAATCCACCAACACGTGCAGAGCCAATTTTGTGACCGAGCTCTCTAAATCTTCGACGATTATCGCGGATGAGGCTGACCCTCGCTTTTCCTTGCTCTCCTTGAACCAGGGAAGGACCATTGCTTTGGCCTGCTCCTGAGATTCGGTGAAAACAGGGCTGTACTGTATGTCAGAACTTGAAAGAAAAAAGAATTTTTTCGAATAGTCACGCATCGAATACCTGTTGTTCTTTGGGTTGAAAGACCGAACCGTAATCTTCTGATGGAACTGCCACAGCGGGCCTTTGGCTGTGAGCATGTTCTCGCCAAAAAGCTGTAGTTGTGTGTAATACATGACAAGCTTTGGAAAGTCTTTCCATCGGTGCGTGATCTCGCTGATCAGGTCGGCATCGGCAACGCATAGTTGAGGCCCGCCAGGGCCCAGCAGCCACTACACATCCGAGCCGAGTTCCTTGCGCGGCAGTGTCCCCTTGTGCTGTCATGTCCCATCACGGACGGCATATCGCATCCATTTCCCCCAGCCGAATGGCAGGTATTTGAACAGCGGTGCGATGTAAGGCGAGATCACATAAAACAAGGGGGTAATCAGTTGTGGATGGAGGCATATCCTTCTTCTTGTCGATAATCGGTCTCTTCATGCGGATAATAGATGTAATATTATAGGGACGCTGGATAGGTACTAAATATAGACACCGGACGGGTAGTAATTACTACACACTATTTACCTCTTTCAGTCCAGCCAAATTCATTGATCTAAAACGCTATGAAGTGAGGCGATAGTGGGTTTTGACCACCCCTGTCCCAAACAGGCAGGAAGACAATGGTTAACTGGTTTGTAAAAGCGACCTAACCTTTGTTCAAGGATTGCAAACAAAGCCTCACTACACCCATTCCCTTCATTACCACAGCTCTAACCCTCCTAGTTGACCCGCTCGCAAAGGATGGACAGCGCATCAAGTGGGCCGGAGATGGTGGACTGGGTGTCCGCGAAGTGCTGGTTCGGGTCCTGGCACGCGGGGTCAAAGTAGGTGGTGCACACGACGCCTGACGCGAGTTGGATGGACTTCACCTCAGGGGTCATGTTGGGATCGATGGGGACACACTGGTCTGTAGAAACGATTTCCTGCGCCAGTCCTGCGAATTCGGGATCAGGGTAAACGATAGCCTGCGTAAAGAAGGTCAGACGCCCACCTGTCTCTGCCATTGTGAGATGCTGGGTAACGTACAACAGGAGACTGAGCAGCCACAGAGGTTGCAAGCGCAACGGAGAGGAGCTGAGAGAACTGCATGGTTGCTGAGGGTGGTTGGTGCTGAGTCTGGATGTTTAGTACTGCTCTCTCTACCTATAGAATTAGGATGGTTAGAATCTGCTTGAAGATGTGCAGTTTAGAGATGTGAACTTTCCTGGAACACAACAACTGAAGGACAAAGTGGGATTCAATTGTCAATTCCGAGTAGTGGTGATATCAATGTATAAATAGTTGAGAGGGAGAATGTTGTGACTTGTGACTCTATATCTTTTGTGATAGCTCTTATGAGCAACCTACGAAATGCATTTCTACGAAGTCCAATAAACCTAATTTTTAGACTAGTGCTCCCTCCCTACCAATCACATGTCCATTCCAGGCCCTCCTTCAGAGCTATAGGCAATATATTGGTAATTGGCAGACTAATACCCACAATATAATCTGTATGGAGTTGATGATTTCTCATAGTTTATGCAGATCATGGCTTTTCCCATGATATATCATTTATGGTTTGCCGCCTGGGCTGCCTTATAGACAGTGCACGACCCTACTATAGCAGACTATTTGCCCAAACTGGCTAAACTAAATCTTTTCCCATTGATACCTCCACCACGTGGGGCCATACCAGCACCTCGACGAGCAACTACTCCAAGTTCAGCTACTCACCATCTCGTGTCCCGGCAAGTACAAGCTGCGCATGATACTGAGCGTCCCTCCTACAACGGAGCACTCATCAAAGAGTTTGTTTGTTCAGGGATCATCCATGTTCAAGGTAAACGATAGTCTGCGTAAAGTAGGTCAGACGGCCACCCGTCTCTGTCCTCCGATGTGATGAAAACACCATATGGAGGTGCAGTACCTTTGCACAGAAGATGATTCCATTGCGTATCATGTGGCTTGCTTCAACTTAAGTTGAATGGTTACATTGAAGGTAATGACTAGAATCACTCAGACCGGTGATGGATGAGTCTCTGGCAAATGATGTTCGTAGTACTGCTTCCAGCCGTGGACATCTATTTCACGCAGTTTCTTGTTTTCTAACTCATTATATCTATAAGAACCCTCCAACTTGTTGACTCCAGAATGAAAGAGAAGCTGTGGTATTTCTGGCTGGAGTATAATTGGCAATTGCTCTTTTCTATATCAACAGTGTAAAATACTATAGGGGATATATCAGCTCATGCAAGGCAATAATCCACCGCATGGTAGAGTCCTTTTGCCAAAGGCAGAGGAAGAGCACAAACGAGAGGCAGACCGTCTTACCGAGCGTCAGTCAATGGTTCGTACAAGGCCTATAGAACCCATAACAATAATCATCTCTAGGGACCTTAACTAACCTCGGATTTATCACTTTTTTGTAGAGAAGTATGAATTACCGGAGATGGAGAACAAAACAGCTAGCCCCTGCTGTCAGAACTAGAAACATGAACCTTCCTAGCAGCAAGAATCAAGAACAAAGGACGATGGCCCTCCTTTCCATGATCCAGATGCATCTCTGGCAATACACCAGGAGGAGGTATGCACTCCTTGAAGTCAACCAACATAAACCCATTCTCTAATAGTAAAGAGATATAGGTCTCCATTGTACGGTGATACGCGCGGATCGGTTGGCCCAGAAAATTAATCATTCGAGGCCCTTCAGAGCCGTAACTCTCAAGCTCCCAAAAAAGCGTTCCACTATCCTTTCGCACCCCCCAGTTTGGAGTCCGCGGTGCTGAGAAGGTAGGATGCTGCACTGAGAAGACAAATCGGCCTCCTGGCTTCAGAGCTTTGTAGATAGCCGCGAAGGTGGCTGCAATATTGTCCGCATAATGGAGTGCCAGGGAGCTATGAACAAGATCATATGCATTTTCTCGGAGTTTCAGCGCGTTGGGATGCTTCAAGGACAAGTCGAGGTCCCCTTGTTCATAGGTGATATTGTCTGCATTGTTGAGCTCCCGCGCCTTTTCCAGCATTTTTGCAGAAGCATCAATACCATGCACAGAGGCAGCACCATTTTCTGAGGCCCAGCGGCAGAACTGGCCGAAACCGCAGCCCAGATCAAGCACAGTTTGGTTGGTAACATGGCCTATGTTGCGGCTTATGGTAGGCCATTGCAGAATATCCTTCACTCCGGCTCTGTTTAGGGACAACTGGGAGTATTTAGCGAAGAAGGTCGGGTCATCATATTGTGCGGTGGTGGTCATTGGGGGCAAATATCAAAATATCGTCTTTAATTTTCCAGGCGGTTTTCCACCATGAGCATATGTCCCTTATTATATCAACATATAATAGCCAGAAACCCAGGAGGCAAGAAGGGGCAAGTAGCGGTGTGGCCAGTGTCTCATGAGCATGCAGGCATAGCGTAAGGAGGCAATCTACTATGTGTCTTTGCATCCTGATAAGTTAACAATCTGGTAGCGTCCCTTTCGGTAGCTGCACAGTTGGTTAACTGTGGAATGCTGGCTCCTTATGCTGTTCGAGACCACAGATCATGGCTTGCCATCCGTTGCAAGTCTATAGGATTAGAGACGAGCCTCGAATATTCTTTGCTCACACGCGAAAAATCACCAGAAATACTGTTGAAGCCTGAATCAAGAGTCCGGGCACCTTTTTGAATCTCCAAGGTTCACTACAAAAGTGATGAGCGTCATATTGATCAACACCCGCTCACTGTGTCTTGATACGCTCAACCACTGGAGTATGGTCTCTCACTCGATATATTCTGTGGTAGATGCAGTGCACCTGCATAAACCTGATAAGGTAAGCCAATTTGACTGTGCAATAATAACAGTGGTCAGCAAAGTAAATTTAGTCCAATCTTCTGAATATTGATGTTAATACACCGGGTGCGCGAATTCTACTGGTGCAGAAGACCTGATAGCGGCCCCATTGTCAACGAATTTTTTTGTATATGGAGCTTCTCAGAGTATACCACACCTTTCATCCATGTGACTACTTAGTGGCCTCACAGCCACGGTTGGCCCTTGCGCCACCTGTGCTAACAGATAACTCGCGGCCCCTAGAACACCAGCTAATGGACATATGCCTCAGACAAAATATCACGTGTCCTCTAGCAGGTGACTCGTATCTCACCCACACGGGATCGTAGACATTGGCCGACCGTTCTGCTTGTCCTTCTGGTTCTGTACCACGCGGTATTTAGCTTACAGGTTAGGGTTTCCTGGATGGGGGGCTTAGCCGGGGTGGGGGAGGCATCAAGGAGCTCGGTACTACTACATCACCGACGGCGGGATATTGCTGAGCGACCGCTGGAAGGAGGCGGAGTATAGCGCTCTCGTTGATGGCGATGAATGAGTGATTAGGTACGCGCAGATGTTGAACCGACTTTGGCTTGAGACAGGTAGGCTTGATTTAATCTTGATTAATCCATTGTGTCTAGTCGAACATGGGTTCGACGTCTGACAGACTTAGGAACATGGAAGACTCGACATGGAGGATGCGGGCAAGGGATAGGCAGCTTTTCAGATAAGCTGGATTACTTTTCTTGCGGCTGTACTATTTGATATCCCTCGCCCCACCTGCCCTCGCTGATGCACAAAGTTGCTGGTGGATTCATCCAGGGTTATTTGCGTCAAAGGCAGGTGGGAATAGTGAGTCGAGATTTTTGGTAAAGCAGGATTCCGATCTCCAGTAGGAGCCATAGAGGTAGGTTACAGGTAAACAGCCAGGGAAAATGTCTTAAGCCGAGTGTTTTCACAATTGCAGTCTCCAAAGTACTATCAAATAAGAAAGCCATAGCCATGGGGAAAAAAACAAAGCTACGCCCGCTCATAAGCTTTCTCAAGAAGCGCGACGTCCAATTTCCTCATCTTCATCATCTCGTTCGTCACGCGGGATTTCCGCTCCAAATCCGAATCACTCAACATCTCCTTCAGCCGTCTCGGGATAATCTGCCACGAAAGCCCAAACTTATCGGCAACCCATCCGCATTGCTGTTTCGCTTCATCGCCCCCCTCTTTCAAGTGGTTCCAGTAGTGGTCGACCTCGTCTTGATCCTCACAGTCGACCTGGAAGGAGATCGCCTCGGTGAATTTGAAGTGTGGTCCACCGTTCAATCCCGTAAAAGTCTGTCCGTTCAATTCGAATTCGACAACCATTACGCTGCCTGCCTCTCGACCGTGGTACTCTTTTCCGGCTTCGGTGTAGCGCTGGATTGCTGTGATCTTTGAATTCGGGAAGATGGAGATGTAGAATTTGGCGGCTTCTTCTGCTTGGCCGTCGAACCAGAGGCATGGGGTTATCTTTGATAGAGTCATGATCTAGATGGGAGATTTAGAGGCCAGGATTTAGGAATTGTAGGGGTTAGGAATGAGGGGACTTCGACCGTTGCTTTATAGGTTTTTTTTCATGACATCAAACCTGGCGTCGGATACGAGGTCCAAGAAAACTTATTTGAGGTGGACTTGTTTGGCTACCCCGCTAGGCAGAACAACAGGCTGCAGAGCTGCCTGTCTCCTTCATGCAAATGGATTTGTGAAGCAATGATTGGTGCTGGAGGCCTCCGGAGGACTACCTGCGTACTATGCAAAGACTCCAGAAAATTGGTTGGAGAGTTATCCATCAGGAAGCCTGCAATCAACCCAGCTCACTGAGTTTCAGGACCTTAACCGCGAATATCAAATGTACAAAACTCCTAGCATTCTCTGGACAGTAGATACCCCCCACAACGGTGGTCTATCAACACTCCAAAGCAATCCGAGGTACTGGTCCCCTAACCACTAAGATTCTCTAGGAACCCAAGTCTGCTTTTCGTCGCGCCTTGGGAAGCTTGCCCTGGCGCTTCAGAGCTGGAAAGATACAGGTCATCACATCGTGAACAGACCCCAAGCCATTGTCGACAAAAGCCTTTTGTATTTGGATGATGTTTGTATTTCTGACTTCATTCTTTCCGGTTTCTGTGGTTGTGCCCGTTGTGCCCCCAAGGTCACGGACCATGTGCAGGATAGAGGCGAAGAAAATAGAAAACAGTTCCTGGGTGTAGATAAAGAGGCTTGTCGACATGATTCCCAGGTGTGCTGTGGGAACTCGGGCAGACGCTATTTGTGGTTATTTCACAGGGGACCGCCCAGTGTATGACAAAGTGAGCATCCCATCCATCCCCCAACACAATGTCATCGGCAGTAAAAAGCAAGTTAGCAGTAGCTTCAATTGCTCGTGCTAACGACGGCGCCGCAGACCGCACTCGGACCAGCTGGTCGTCCCAATCCTTCGTCAGTTGCGCCAGTCGGGCCCGATATAGGAATACCGCGCCGGTCTCCTCCATCCCGGGCCTGTCACTTATGTAGTGATGGTCGGTGAGGAAATGATGGCGAAACCGCCACGTCTCTGGAACTTTCCATTTATCGTGCCATTCAGAGCTGAAGAATGGAGACCGGTCTGCCCGCTTAACGGCCCCAAAGCCAGATAGCACAACTGTTTTCTCGTTGCCAAAATATGTGTGGATCAATCTGCTATTCTCGAGTCTGGTGGTCACGGATTCTACATTCTGGTAAGATCTCCGTGGGGAAACCATCCACTTTCTCTGGCATCTTGGAAGGCCGATATGCCCTATGTACAGGGCGAGCCAGTCCAGTTCATGCCCTGCGTGAAGTTCCCGCTGGTCGGCCAGGCAGACTTCCCGTTCAGCCAGACGACTGCTCCGCAGCCATGAGCGTACCATACTCATCAGCAGTGTGAGGGTTAGCTGGGCGACAGCAACCGTAGAATGACAGGCGCGGAGACCAAGGAATTGCAATGCGAAGCCCACGACCGTGGAGCCTAGAGCGCCTCCCAGAGCAAGAGTTTTGGGCGCAACTCCGGCGTCTTTCCAAGACGTGATATACCGATCGGATTGATTGGTGGGATGACTGTAAGCGAACGAGTCAAAGACCTGGTCGCCGATGAACTGGGTACCCGGCTGGACCCAGTAAAGTCGCGATGTGGCGCTCGAGCTCGAGCTTCGAGAAAAGACGCGTTCTTTCGTGCTCCCTTCCACCAGTTGGGCGCACCGGACCATCCCAGTACTCAAAAGGCCTGGGCACCCCATAGCAATCCTGGAAATCACCCCGGGTCCATGCAAGTCGATAACGAGCGATCGCAACCCATATGAGAATACCAAGTTGCAGAAAAGCCCCTACCCCAGCTATAGTAACCAACACCCATGTCGGATAAAATCGTATCCCTATATTCAATGTCAGGTTAGGATTCGGGGCAAAGCACAGCTTCCCTTCATTAGGTTCTTCTTGCGCCTCCGTGCCGGTTTCAACATGGGTTTCCCTTCTGCGTTCTTCGATCCATTCCTTCGACCATTCAACAAATTCCTCAAAGGGGTAGATCCCTGCAGTTGCTGGTGCGGACATGCTACGCATGAATTCATGTTTGAAATATTGCTGCTTATGAACGATCTCCAGGAGTTTCGGGTGTCCCAGGACTCGCGCTATGCCCCCTCCGTTGGTATAGAGCTCGCACACTTCCCGGCTTGTGGAGGAGCAGGGCTCAGCCTCGGCCGTTCCGCTTCCTTCCTGTGGCCTCCCGATGAATGCTCGAAGGGATGGTGGCCCGGTAACACGGATTGCGGATACAACCGCGGTGATGACACCCAACGGTGCAATCGCAAATATGACCGCATCGACTGGTGACAGACATTCAATTAGATACTGCTTTGTGGGAGCCTCCCCGAAAAGTGTAATGAAGGGTGAGAGATCAGTTGCAAGGTTATTGGAGAAATCGTCCCACCAGCCGCCCATGGTTATATTTGGGCCAACAGAAGCAATAACTGACGGGAAAGATATACTGATTCTGATGATGTCGATGTTGAAAGAAGTGCCGCAGCTATATGAAGAAAGGGAAAAGCCGAGAGGATTCCGTGATGCGGAGGGGACAGGTACGGTCAATTTTCAGCACTGTTCAAACATTGGCTGGCTGAAAGCATTCAAGGTTTTGCCTCTGCATTGCTAAAAGCTATGGCGCTAACAGCCATAGTAACTGGAGTGAGACTAATCAGCCTCCTAGTTTCTGTATTCAACATGCAGAGAAATGCAGATGCCAGGTTCCCATGTCGCTATTGTTACGGAGCAAACTTTTTTTTTTATTCTGGCATCGGAGACTGCGATTAGTAGCAATCCTTAGGTTCGTCCCACCTTCCTTCTCGCTCGCCACTCGATGGTGAACACTCGGAACAGATGCTCATCCAGCGGGTAAAGGAGCATTCCCACCAGGCTGTGAGCTGTCTTTGCAGTTCGTCCTGCAGCTAAGCAAGCTAACGGGGATTTCTCAGTCTCTGTCAGTACGGGGCTCTGGCTAACCAGTCTAGTACAGTGTTAGTCTGTCCCTTTGGATATGTTCTTGGCTTTCAGAAGACCAGTGAGGCTGGCTAATTTGATGGTTTCGGACGTACGGGCCAGTTCATGTATCCAATAGTCACCGTGGCCTTACTAGGGTCTGTCTCTACAGCAATACATCCCTGTCAGAGCTTGAGATTGCTGCTGATTCCGGCTTGTTTCGTGCGTCCACCTTAAATATGGCAGGTCATCCAAAGATATGGTGGAATTTGATAATACTACGCATGACAGGAAGAAGGAAAAGGGACGTATATAATAAGGAGATTAAGACGCACCAAGCAACGCGGTAAACAAGCAAATAATAATACTCAACATCAGAATTCTTAAGATTTCTTATTAAGTACTAAATTAAATTAACATTATGCCCTATCTATTTCTAACCTAGTATTAACCTTATTAGTATAACTAAGAGCTTATACTTTACTTATCTCCTACTCCTCCTGACTATTTACCTAGATAGGGGTAACATGTCTGTACGCGTGCGCGCCCTTATGAGTCAGTACAAAACACTAGGAAGACTTCCGGTATCTCTCATCCCCATTGGGATCTATAGTTAAACGATCGAATCCTTCGTGCAAGGCGTGTGTTTAGCCCTCGCGGGTGATGGGGGCTGATGCCGCTTAACAAGGTGGTGATTAGGGTGGGTGTAGTTTAGAGAGATGGTGATGTCCGGAGAATACATCACCCCTTACAGATTCCCGCACTGGTTCCCGGTCTCCCCATGTCCTAGGATATGAATATAACCGATGATAATAATATAGGACGCTATGGCAGGAATCGTCCAGAGAATAAGGAAGTCTGTCCACTTTATCCCAGAAAGATTTTTCTCGACCCCGCCTCCTCGATGTCTGCACCAAAGAAATACTACATTATTGGCCAGGGCATATCACAGAGTCTGTCCCCAGTCATTCATAACACGGGATTCAAGTACTATGGCCTTCCTCATCATTACAAGATCCAAGAATGCTCAGATCTGGATGCTGTGCGCCCGTTGATGGAGGATCCTGCCTTTGGGGGGTCCAGTATTACCATGCCCTACAAGCTGAGCGTATCGGAGTTTTGTGACTCGACTTCTGACTCCGCTGCCACGATTGGTGCTATCAATACTCTAGTTGCTAGCCACGGGCCGGGCCAGCGAAGTGTCCATGGTGACAATACCGACTGGTACGGGCTTTACTGCCTGGTCACCGAGTATCTGATGCAAAATCCACTCGACACGCCGGTCGGTCTTGTCATTGGGGCAGGAGGCGCTGCCCGAGCTGGTGTCTATGCGTTGATCCAGGCTGGAGTTAAACGCGTCTATGTTGCCAACCGCACTCTGGCGACGGCACACAAGGTCGTGCAGGATTTTCTGTCTTTGGGCAATGTCATCCCCGTGGGATTTCCTTCTCGACTTCCGGAGACTCCCGACCTCATCATTGGGACAGTTCCAGGACAGGCTTACCCGGCTGAATCCTTTCTTGAATTGTTTCAGAAAAGACACGGCCTATGCATTGAGATGTCGTACAAGCCTCGCATTACAAATCTGCTCAGCCTTTCTCTGAAGCAGAGTGGCTGGATGTCAGCCGATGGACTGGAGGTCCTCCTCAGGCAGGCATTTGAACAGTTTCGCATCTGGACAGGCCTGGAGCCGCCGGAGGCAGTCATGCGGGAAGCAGTGGCCCATGAGATTAGGAGAAGAGAGAGTAGCTTATAATTCTTCGATTGTGGCTGAGACCTTATAGACCGCGGTTTTTATGGACATATTTCTTTCTACCTGAAGAAGATCCAAGATGACGGACCACACTCGTTGACAGCTATGGGAATTGCACGTATATGGATTTCTTCAACATTATGATACACAGATGCAGGCAGATACCCAAAGCCACGGCCTTGGCCATTTCAGCTCCTTTGAATCAAATTTCTCGCCGCATGGTGAATGGCAGCTTCGTATCCGTAGGTTCCCAGGCCGACTAAAATTGCTGACGCTTTGTCCGACAGATAACTATTATGCCTAAACGGCTCCCTCGCGTGTACATTGGTGATATGGACTTCGATAAACGGAATGCAAACGCCAACTAATGCGTCGCGCACACCAACACTCGTGTGTGTTAATGCCCCAGCATTAATGATCATGACATCGACGCGACCCCGGCCGGAGTGGATTCGATCGATAATATGGCCTTCATGGTTTGATTGGAATGTTTCGAGGTCTATTCCGTAGCTTGCAGCAACGGCTTTGGAATTCTCCTCAACATGTCGAAGGGTAGTGGCGCCGTATAGATGGGGTTCCCGGGTACCCAGGAGATTCAGGTTGGGTCCATTGATGAGGAGAATAGACGGCATGGTGGATTCAAGACAATCTCATGGATTTTTATGGTTGTAGTGGCTGGCACCGGGAAGCAATATGATAGTTACTTAAGTACAAGTCCAGCATGTGCCCTTCGTGTCGGACACGAGTGGATGCAAGGCTATGGATTTAACCGTGGGTGGGAGAACCTACATTTCGATGACCGAATACGCTATCTATTGGACCCCCGTAATGTCGTACTAGATTAGGTACGTTTTACCCACGCAAAGTCATTCTCTAGGCGTTGCATTTGAACCATTGTATATCCGAAATAGACGCTATGGTCGCGCACAAGCCCAATCACCAGGCAACATCCTTCCCCTCCACCCAGTCGCGGGCTTGTACATACAACAGGTCATGTTTCTGCCCATTCACACTGGATCCCTCTCGCCGATGCCCAGGGAGGTCGAGCAGAACTTTGACCCCCATTGTGGATTCCTGTAGATACGCCAGATGCCGGTATCCTGGCGGATATTTCTGCAATTTCTCCAAGTCGATCACGGGATCACGACCAGCAGTAACCGCGATTAATTTGTCTTTCTCGTACCAGTGTCTCACAAACCGAGCACGCCATTGTTGATCCATTTCCGGATATGCGGGGTCTGCCACTTTCTCCCAAAAGAAAATGAATCGACAATCGCTCTCGGCATCGGCTTCACAGGTGCCACCGGAGGCACAGGGGAGGCCAGAGAACCTCTGTGTGATGGTGGCTTTCATTTTGGTCACGGCGCGCACTCCACTGGGGTCGATGTCTGTTGTACTCCCATGGACGCGATGCATAATGAATACACCATTATCCATTCCCGCCTTTGAAGCCTCGATGAATTGGAGGTGATGGGTGAGACCTGTCCAGGTGGTGTAGATGTGGGCATCCGGGTGGAAAATCGAGCGCAGGTTCTCCCATTCGCATGCATCACGATAGCACGGCCATCCCTCCGCCAGCTCCCGCAGTTTATACCGCTCGAGGGCGAGATGTGACGGTCCGTTATTGCGGATTGCATGTTCCGGGCGTGAGCCCGCGGGCAGGGTGTGTAGATCAGGCATAATAACGGTGCAGCGTTAGCTAACAAAAACTCTGCAGGATAAAATTGAGAGCTTTCAGAAGGAGAAAGACGCTCAGTAGCAAAAATAGTTGCTGGGAAACCCAACATGGATAAGATCACAAGCCGAAGTACAACTGATCACGGCCGGCTAATGCTATCTCCGGACGGCTGTGACATTTAGCGATGAGCAAACCTGCGCTTAGAGACATGCTCCTTTATCTGATTTCTCGTTCAAAAAGGACAATACTTCCTCCAGCAGCAAAGGCGATTCAAGTCTCTTCTCTGTCTCCGTCAAGATCATGGGGTCTCGCGCATACACTTATCTCGTTGGCATCGGCGTCACACATTCGATAGCCCCGCCTATGCACAATTATATCGCCAAGTCATTGGGCTATGATTGGGAATTCCGTGCTCAAGAATGCCCGTCAGTTGAGCATGCCATCAACCTTTTCCGCCAGCCTACCTTTGCCGGAGGCGTGGTGACGATGCCCTATAAGCGAACGATCATGGACCATCTGGACGGACTGGACGAATACGCAACAAAGCTGGTCGCTTGCAACAACGTGTACCGGTCCTCAGATGGACAGCTGAGAGGCACCAATACCGACTGGAGGGGCATTGAGGGGTGCCTTCTGAGCGCTAGCACCGAAGGCAAGGGGAAGCCCGCCGTCGTGATCGGTGCGGGGGGCGCATGCCGCGCAGCGATCTTCACCCTGCATGAGAGGCTGGGCTGCAGTCCTATCTACATCGTGAACCGAGATGCAGATGAAACCGCTGCACTCTTCAAAGAAACCAAGCAGAATTACGAGCAAAGCCTTCAATTGGTGCACGTGCAGTCTGTGGAGCAAGTGCAGGGTTTAGCAGCGGCCTACTATATTGTGGGAACGGTGCCCGACGCAGAGCCGACCGCCCCAGAAGAGCTGCAAGTCCATCAGGTCCTTAACGCATTCCTTGAGGCTGCAGTTGAAAAAGGGGTCCTATTGGATATGTGCTTCAAGCCTAGAAATACACGGATTCTGCGAGCCGGGAAGGCCAGGGGATGGAAGACAGTGGAGGGAACCGAGGTCATTGGGCATCAGATCCACGAGCAATACCGCTTGTGGTGCGGAGAGGAGCAGAGTAAGAGGATCCGTACAGAGGAGGCTTGGGCGGTTCTTCGCAAAGCAGCGGAGGAAAGCCCAGCCATCAATTTCTAACACTGCCTGCTATAACGGCACCTACGGCTAAGGATACAACCGATAAGCGGGTAAGCACATAGTACCAGTCGAGAGGCAATAGTTTAAAGAAGTATCGGCGGCGAAGCCATGGTTCAGATGATTCCCAACTCCTCTCTCCCTAATAATAACTCCCATTCCTGCAAAAGCACCATGTCCTGCAGGCCGGCAATAGCTTCGATGTCTCTTGGAAGAGCATGGGTTCATCCGCTCTCCGAAAAACTCTCACAAGCAGCCCATGCCGGTTTCGAAGGCGTGGAGATCTTCTATGAGGATTTAGAATATCTAGCCAAGGAAAAAGGCTCTCTCAGTAATGAGACCTTATTTGCAGCGGCTCACGAAATTCGGACAATGTGCGACCGGTACGGGCTCGAAGTAATCGGGTTGCAGCCTTTTCTGTTCTACGAAGGATTGATTGATCGAGCTCAACATGAGCAGAGACTGCAAAAACTGAAAGTCTGGTTTCGGATTGCGAAGATCCTGGGCACCGATATCATCCAGATTCCATCGAACTTTCAATCCGACGGGATTTCTGGCGATCGAAACTTGATTGTTGCTGATATGGTTGAGGTCGCCAACCTGGGGCTGAAGGAGATCCCAGTCATCCGCTTTGCCTATGAGAACCTGGCTTGGGGCACTTATATCTCAACCTGGGAGGATATGTGGGATATTGTCCGTCGCGTTGACCGACCCAATTTCGGATGCTGCCTTGATACCTTCAACATTGCCGGCCGGGTCTGGGCAGATCCCGCAAGCCCCTCTGGAAAGACGCCGAATGCCGACATGGACTTGAGGAAGTCCATTGAGAGCCTCACAAAAACGATCGATGTGAGGAAGGTCTTCTATATACAGGTGGTGGATGCCGAAAGAATGGAGTCGCCATTAGTCAACGGCCATCCATTCCATGTTGAAGGTCAACCCGCGCGTATGAGCTGGAGTCGCAATGCAAGGTTGTTTCTGTACGAGGAGGAGAAGGGAGGGTATCTCCCTGTGGTAAAAGTAGCTGAAGCCTTCCTGAAGGGCCTTGGTTACAGGGGATGGGTTTCAATGGAACTTTTCTCCAGGACCATGGCAGATCCAGACCCCACCACCCCCCAAACACACGCACAAAGAGGCATCCAGGCATGGAACGGGCTGAAGCGGGAGCTGATACTGTAATTAACATCACTTGTACCCCTAGAGAAGGGATGGATGTCTTAGAGTGCTTTCGCCATGTCACTCGCGATCCAAATAGCGAAGGGAATCCAGAAATTCCGAGTCTATGTCCCCAGCACAAAATCCTAGATTATGAGCAAATGAAGGCGCGTTCCTGTTCAGGATTAGTCAGAAACAGAACAACGACGACGATAGAGTTTAGAGCATACTCTGTAGGCATGACAGATGTTGCTAATTCTTCGAGCACTGCATCAAAGGATCTACACCCATCAGATTCATGCGTTTGGCACGGGGTATAAACAGGCGCTGAATTCATCTCGTCTAGCCTGGCTTGGCGACGGGAAGTAGAGGACTCAAAAATATCTCTGCCGTCATTCGTGGGCGTTCGGACCTGTTGGGAACCGGCTCCTGCCGCATCCTGGACGCGCGGGTCATCTAAATGAATTGGTCCGCTGTCCTTGCTGCTGCATCCTGAGGAACTGGTCCAGTCAAGCGCCAACCTCATCTCGGCCAGTTGGTTTAACAGTTCGTCTTGTGGAGAATTGTCATCGGTCATGACTACCAAACGGGAAGCCCACTCTGGTTGGTGAAGAAACCAGCGTAGTAGGGGGGATGTCCTTGTTGTGCCCGCAATTTCAATATAAAGTTTCAGCAGGTGAAGTGTAGATCGCACACTCGCCTTCACGGAGGCTACCATGGATGAGTCGAGTGGATGGATCTTGCAGGCGATCCGTAAAGTCACAAACTCCGAGGCCAGATGCAGCGTCAACAACGCAGGGTTATGACTTGAGGAGACGGGATACCGGCTAGCAAGGGTGAGCTTCCAGTGCTGCAAATCGGCCATAAGCCTGTCGGCATTATCTCGGGCCGGTTGAAAGTGAAGCACGCGAGCCAGATGCTGAGCGAGTTGACTGCTCAAATTGAACGCACTCAGGGCACGCAGGGGCCCTTTCTTTGCCAGGCCGTGCATTCGGTTCTGTTCCCAAAGAAACGGAACCCACACATCCCATTCATCCAGTCCATTCTCGTCAATCGGATCATCTTCGTTCTGAATCTCGCCAGACAGGCCCGGAGTCTGCCCCGTAAGAGCAGATACTATAGCATCAAGGAAGCAGCAGCCACGATGCGTGCGGCCATACCGGGCTTCTCTCGCTGAAACCGGCAATATGGCCAGTAATCTCTCCACCTGTCCAAGTTCAACCCATGCTTTTGACAGATTTCCAATACCAATGTCTAACAGCACAAGAACAAGCAATGCCTCGACATGGCTATGCTGGAGTGTATCTGAATCCTCAAGAACCCGTGACTGGAGGAAGGATTGAATTTGCGCCCGACAGGCATAACGTTCTGGATTCGGCCCATCTTTGGCAATTGAAACATACAGAATGATTGTCCAGAGTGTTATCCGGTGCCCTGAGATTGGGTCATCTGGGGTGCTAGGGTCGCTGTGCATTGACCGGAGAATGTCTCGACGCTCAAGGATAGGGAACCACGAGTGAACGTGAGAGAAATAGTATTCCACTATTTGGACTATATTCTCGGGTAGTGGCCAAGCTGCAATATCGCTGGCTTTGTTCACTGAGAGGCTCTTAGATTGTGGTGGGTGCTCCTGACGGTTGGATAAGTTAGATGGCGTCCACATGGGGTCCGCAGACACGGGCGTATTCGTTGGCTCCAGCACCAACTCAGGTTCCAGCTCAGGCACCAGCTCCTCATCATCAGATATTTTCGTCATAGAGGGATCAAGAATTTGCATTGTTTCCCTTGATAGTTTGGACCCTCTCCAAACGGCTATATAACGTTCACTCAAATCGCTACCCAGGAAATCGTCTCCAGGAGTCATGTCCCGAAGGATAGCCTTCACAGTGGTTTCGCTATTGGGCACATGCTCAAGGACAATGCCAAGAATCGCCTGAAGCGCCCCCACGTAGCCAGACTGTAGTCCACGCCGTCGGCCACTCGGATGGTACGTACAACTGCGTCCCGCTGCGTGGCAGATGGAGCAAACCGGCTGTGCGCCATCACACTTGGATTTCCGGCGCCGACACTGGTCGCAGGCACGACTAATGCGCTGCCGCTTTGATGGGCGAGAGTCAGGCATCGCGTCGTCCAGTCTGGAAGACAATATGGCTATTCTGACCAACCTGCTCGTTCAGCCACTGGCCCTCAGATGGCACGGAGACGGCTAGGTCACGTGAGCGGGTAGAGTCTTAGCCGCCATATCAACGCATGACATCTCCGTAAAGTCTGCCGTCTGGTTGGGATTCGTGTGCTAATGCCACAGATGATTGACACCGAACTCAGCCAACTTCACTGCCTGAGACTGAGCCGGCATGTCCGCCAAAGTCGGCACCGGCCTCGCTGCACATCCAGCCAAAAGCACCATCTCATTTGAACAGCACTATAACCCGGACGCTTCCCTGGTTCTAATTGGATTCCCTGGTGCTGGGAAGAAAACCCTGGGTATAATGGCTTCTATGGGTCTTCGTCGTCGATTCATTGACTTTACTGCCCACTTTAAAGATGAGTTTCATATCTGTCCTCAAGCCTATATTACACAGTACGGATCAGCACGTTATCTGGAAGCAGAACTGTGCCTCTATCGTGATTTGCTGGCAAATTATAGTCGTGGATGTGTAATAGTTGGGCCCGGATGGATTATTAGCAGCGAGCTACAAACCCTATTTAAAGAATTCGCACTACGACATCCAATAATTTACATCCAAATAGATGAAAAGGCCTTGAGGCAATGCATGGTGACAAGTCCCGAGACTTTTGACCGTGTTTTACGGACTGGACACCGAGTTTTCAAATCATGCTCGAATTTTGACTACTATAATCTTTTCGAGGATCTCATCCCGGGGGCTGAAAATTCCCGACCTTCATATCTCAAGCTTAAGGAGACGGAGAAATCCTTTGTCAGGTTCCTGAACCATATCTTTGGGTGCCAGGGTCGCTTGCGCTATTCGGCTGAACTGTTCTCTGCGTCTCCATCATATGCTCTCCAGGTGCCACTAGCTTGGCTGGAAGAACCATCCCAGAATTACCACGCACTAGAAAATGGAGCAGATGCCGTCAGCTTGGTTGTTGATACGACAGAGATAGCGGACCACCACTTTGCTGATAAGCTAGCAAAGAGTGTGGCTCTTATACGAAGGCATTCGCGGGCCCCCCTCATTGTCGATGTACAGACACCGGAAAAGACACAGATCTCCGGTTATCTCATCGTCCTGGGGCTCGTTGCTCGCCTGGCACCAGACGTCTTGACCTGCTCATTAGTCTGCCATGATGAAGATTTTAGGGGACTACTTGGAAACATCAACCGAACAAAAGTTATCGCCACGTTCCATCAACAAACCCCATTGGAATGGAGTGAAGAAGACCATCGCAGGTTTATCTCGATGTGCAATCGGGCGCATAGGCTCGGATGCGCGGCTATTCGAATAACAGGAGAGTCCCGGTCCTTGGAGGACAATTTGGGTTGCGTTAGCTTTCTGCAAAACATCAGCAGAACATCTCCTCTATGCGTCATGGCTCATCACGTTGGTTGTGCCGGCCGTCCTTCAGTCTGCCTTAACCCTGTATTGGCACCTGTGGTTCATGAGTCAATGAGACACAAAGGGGCCACACTGCAGGAAGCACAGCTATCCCTTTCAAGCTGTTTTCTCTACCAGCGGAAGAGATTCCACCTCATCGGCCGGGAGTTGTCATATAGCTTGTCCCCAGAAATGCACAATATGGCATATTCTGCATGTGGACTCCCTAATGTCTATTGTTTAACAGAGATCCGAAGCCTGTCTGACATTAATTCCCTCCTGAACGCCGATGATTGTGGGGGCGTTGCAGTATCTCTTCCCTACAAGACAGAGGTACTAAAGTACCTAGACGAGGTCAGTGAGGATGCCAGCAACATCAATGCAGTCAATACTGTGGTGATGGAGATGCACAATCGTCCGGGAGAGCGTCCGCGACGCATACGAAAAGGCTATAACACGGACTACGTCGGCATTCGTAATTGCGTGTATCAACATCTTTCACCCGCAAACGGTATCCGTGATGGCACAGCAGCTCTGATTATTGGTGCTGGGGGTATGGCACGAGCAGCTGTGTATGCCTGCTATCACCTCGGTGTTCGGAATATTTGTATATTCAACCGGACCCCTCGCAACGCGGAAACGCTGATCGACTATTTTACCCAGTGGTCGGCGTGTAGACCTGGACCCCCCTTAACTTTTACGCTACTCCGGTCAACGGGTACTTGTTGGCCGCCTCAGCTTCGTCTACCGACTATTGTCATATCATGCATCCCGTACGTGGAAAGTGGCAATAAGTCAACGCCTTTTCAAGTACCAGAGAAATGGCTCAGCAGCAAGACTGGGGGCGTTTATATGGAGGTATGATACTTACCCTCGTCGTCCTAACGTATTGTCACACTAAGTCACTAACGTTGTGATACAGGTAGCATACGGTCCACTGAAAACTGCATCCTTGAGAGAGATGGAACAATACAAGTCTAGAGGCTGGATTGTCGTCGATGGGTTTAGCGTTCTGCTGGAGCAAGGCATCGAGCAGTATGAACTCTTTACCAGGAGACCGGCACCCGTCCATGTAATGAGAGAGACTATCCAGCAACTCAAAGCTCGCTCATAGCCCATATTGATAGCTAAACGCAGATTTTCTCCAGTAGTTTTGTGATTCCTAGCACGCCAGTCTTCCCTTTTCTCTTCGGTCTTTGACAATTGCATGGCGGTCCGTACTCATATACTAATATTTATTGTTTATTCTTTATGGCTATTGTCAGTAGGAATTATTAGATTAATCGAAATATAATTTTGTTTATCTGCTATTTAGAGTAGTTTTGTCTAACTGGAAGGTAGGCGCGCTCCTCTCCCTGCAAATAAAGAATCCTCCGCCGTTGTGATTTCTTACGATAGTCGGCATAGGGCATCAGACGTGCAATGGCTGCAGCCCGGAGAAAAGCTATATAACTCTGCAAGTCTCAGCTGCTGCTCTAGTAATTTTTGCAATTTAGCATTCTTTGGATGCCATAGTCATATAATTTCACGTGCGATCTCAGAGGGGGAAGCTGCGAGGATTAAATCTTATGCAGATTCAGTAATAATCAAGTTCATCTTTTTAAGATTCAGGGCGCAGAGCGTATTAAAAGCAGCTAAATCACTGTTTTCTTCTGTAGTCAGCTGCCAAGTTGGGCTTTATCACTCCCCGGGAGCCCTCATCACCACTGGTAAGCGATTATCACCAGGGGTCATTAGGGCCCCTAGAGTCCTTACCCACATCACCAGCACTCATACCTAAGCATCACATCGCTGCTTTAGAGGCAAAAGGGTATTCTAGGAATTGACCACATTCTATAATGGGCTTAAACATGGTCAATAAGTCCTTGATCCGGAGGTTGAGTAGCTGATGGACTGCGTATAATCGCAAGTTGGTCCAGATCGGCCCCCGATGTTACAGTAGCTGAGTGCGGGTCTCTTGACACGATCTTTAACAGACTTGTAGCTGCATCTTCCGGTTTTGAGGACGGATAATTCAGATTTGAGGTTGCGAAACTTGAACCAGGGGCATCTCCATTCGTCTGTTCTATGCCACTCGTAGCCAGAGCCTTCGCTGAGGACAAGGTCTCATAGTCCAGGGTAAGAGTCGTAGATTGATGTTCCCAGGACGCACCCTAGTTTTGACAAATAAATGAGGAACAGGCGCACCGCTCTTAGCAGCTTTACTGTAGATGCTTCTCGCGCGATCATTCTGCGTCCTTGGCCATCTTCTTCAGTTGCTGAACCCCGGTAGCGGGCAAGGCTCTTTCAAACTTCTCCGCCAGTATTGTCTCTTCCTCCTTGAGGAGTTTCAATTGATTGCTCCAGTTGTCATAGTTGATGACGCTCCTGAAGTAATTTTTGGTCTGGTTACGATAGAACCGTAAGACCCTCTGCACCTGGAAGTCAATGATGAGTCTCTATAGGCCCAGAACACGCTTCCTCAGATCAGACTTTAAGCCAGGCTCCAAGTCGCTGGGTAAGAGAAGTGATTCCATCTCAACGTGGTAGTGCATCTGCGAAGTGACATATGTTAAGACCCTCCCTGTTAGCGGTGTCGATAGCGGCCGGGTTCTTCAGGGGGGGGATGAGTGAGATCCCTGCCATCAATGCCTATGGCACATCCTTGATTTCATCTTTGATATAGTTTTGGGCCAAATCCACAGACCCGCCAATATTGCCTACCCTATCCTGACATCGAGTACATGGCCTAGAATTGTTAATTTGATTTTCTTGCCTTCTATGTGTTTGAAGCATAGTTCCGCTATCAGTTTCGGTTTCCCTCGACGCGCAGCGGCATTGTGCTGAGGGATTTGATTCCTGACATCGATGGCGTCTCCTTCCTGGTTTGGGACAGATCGGGAATTTGCCTCGGCTATATTGCAGCGTCAGCGCTGTTGAGGAACAGCGTCATGATAATCAAATATACCGCTGATGAGCACTCTGGACAAAAGATCCTCATATGCGGACAGAAGCTCAGGTCGTTCCTGTTTTAGAGAGTCATATGCTTCGTCCCAGAGAGAAGTATGAGAGGTTTCAGTGACTATTATATCTGTGGCTTGCTTTTGGATCGGATTTGGGGCAGCCACGCCAGCTGTTTCAGACACTCCTGGAGCCCTATTCTCTTTATTCTTCGTCCCTGTTAGGCATATCTTCTCGGAAGCAGCAGGGATCAAGGTGGAAGGATTTGCGGTTGACTGTTTATCCAATGAGGCCGTAGAGGTCGACACTTCAACACTGTTAGAGTAGGAGACATGTCCTAGAAGGCGTTAATAGTCATGGGGATTGTCTGGTAGTTTCCCATACCAGCTGAATTTGCAGGCACATTTGTAGGCTTATATTCTGCAAGATTATTTGACTCCTTTGCCTTCGCGGAATCCCTCTTAAAGACCTGTTTCCAACGACTCTTAACTGATCGTTTACTGCTCATTGCTTGGTAAGAGCTCCGCTGAGCAAGCAGTGCCCTGTTGGATATGAGATATTGCAGAACGGATGCGAGGGTGTTAGAATGCTTAGGGTAGACCGAAGCTAGATGAATCGATGGTTTCCGGCTCTTCCAATTTTTGTAGTGGAGAGGAAGGCTGCGTAGGGAAGTAGAACGTCTTTAAGCAATTCGAATGGCGCAAAGGCGAGGCTCAGCTGAAGCGGGGCCACGCGCATGAAAGCGAGTTGTCTCGCCCTTTTCCCCGCGGATCGTCTCCCAACATCGCGCGTATAACTTTCTAACCAGGATGAATGGATGGCTGGGCAGAGTGCCCATCGTGTACTGACTGCTTTAAGCCTAAATGTAGCCTTTCGGAATGAGATTGGCAGAACGCAAAATAAAAGATAGGAGAAAATATTATAACCAGTCCCGCATCAGTATGCGCCGTTACCGTGCTACAGAATAATATATTTCCAGGGTCGCTTCCAAGGCCGTGTTGCTCGTCCGTAAGTTATTTCTGTGCCAGCCATCGGCAATAACACAAAGATAGAAGAAATAATTAGAACTGCAAACAACAACTGTATCTTTTCCCACATTAATTTCAGGCTAAGCGCCGCAGCTTTTTTTCTGCAATTGTGTACCTACTATTAGAAGAAAGACGAGATTAAAAAACCCTGAGTGATTCGCCATGAGCGAGTGCATAGCCACAGCCTTTCCTTCTTTTGGACAATGGGCCGGGAAGTCTGGCTGCGGCCCCGTATATTGAGAGACCCTGGCTTGATTCAAGATGCATTTCTGTTGTATGGTCACCTGATCCTACAAAGTTAGTCAGCCCACAGCTAGTGAGCTTGCTCCTATTCCACGCAGAGAATCCAACCATCTTCATGGCAGCAAGCTGCTGCCCCTACAACACATTCTCTAATATCGTCATTTGCTACCTACGCTCGCTACCATGAAGATCGCTCGTTTCTGGGTCTCTATCGCCCTATTAGTTCCACGGGCTCTAGCAGTCCCCACTGAATCCTCAGCGATAACTGCTACGTTCACTACCTCTACTGTCGCGGCACCAAGTTGTACATCTTCTCTCATCGCCAGTCTCTGCAGCTACCAGGAACCTGGTCCAGAATTTGCCGTCGCCATCGACAGCAGGGCCTCCTGCTGGGACTACTGTAACGCCCACCCTCCCTGCAACTTTGTTATCTTCGCTGCCGGCAACCCTTACACGGGCACCGGCACGTGCTGGCTGTACCCGGGTGAAACCTTCGATGCGAGCAAAGGGAGTTCGAATTGCGCCAATCCCAGCCTGTCCGTCTACAGCCAGCCCGTGTGCTCTGGCGGGAGCGCAACCACCACTGCTGGCGCCTGCGCCGCCACCGCGACTCCCTCTGCTATTGCCTCGGTCTGCGGGTACCCGGCGCCTGGTGACTGCTTTACGGGTTGTACTGCTAGTACGGGTGTCTCGAACTGCTTGAGTCAATGTGCAGAGGCCGATTCCTGCAGCTATGTCGTCTTTAATCCGCATAATCCAAGCAACTCGCCGTATGCCTCGGGCACTTGCTGGATCTATCCGAACGGCACATTTAACGCGGGGTCTGCGGCCGCTTGTAGCGACGCTCCTGAGCAGTTTGTGTATAACAACTTGTGTCCCAAGCCATCGCCTTCATCGTCCTCCCTTTCATCGTCTGCTACGGAACGCTCTAGTGGCACTGGAACTGCAGGCACGGGCTCAACTATTAGCGCTGCTACGGGCTCGAATGGCGCTGAAACCGCAGCCAATACTACGGGCTCGACTACTAGCAGCAAGAATTCTGCGCCTGCCGGCCTCTCGCTCACTAATCTATTGGCGATAGGCGTGCCTATATTAATATGGCGGGCCCTTTAATGATATCCTTGCACGTTTTGGTTGTTTGTTCAGCTAAACAGGCTATTGAGATATATTATATATTAATGGACTTTGTGTGAGGTCACTCCTCCCTCTTGTATCTCTCGCTATTGTAGAGGGTATGTTAGGTAATTCATCACATACTGCAAATAATGGACTAGGGTTCCAAATAGTACGAACCACGTTGCTATCTTGGTCGATCTTGGAAAAAAGCAGTAGAATCATAGCCTTGGAATTATGAACACTTGAATGTTAAACCACAGGATCTTAAACGATAGATCTTAATCGGTAGAAGCTTAAACGGTGGACTTAAACAGTGGAGACTTAACCGTGGATCTCAAATTGTGGAAACTCAAATGGTGGAATCCTATGTGACATTGGAACCGGAGATGTGAAGCCTGCCAGTTCTGCCTTTTACTTTCATTTTGTTTTTTCGCTTGTATGGCATTATTAGCATAATTTGTGCATAGAGTGAGATTAGGGTAAGACTCATTCTTAGCTAGGGACACCAACTGACTAATTAGGAAAACAGTGGAGCACAGCCTGTGTTCTGAATTCCCGACCTGCCCCAGTTCCAGGGTCCTGCATCTCCCGTCCCCCACCTTAGCTATGAAACTCATTGCAAGAGTATCAACATGACACTCTCCCTTTAGGGTACCAGAACCCTCCTAAAAAGTCCAGTATATCAATTACCAAGCACCACCAGCTGGACCCTGTCAAAAATATTCTCATTCTCCACTCTGCAGCTCATCCCCAATATCCACCGCCCATCACTACAGGCATATGTGAAGAAGAAAAAGCCTCAATTCCCTGCTATGTCGCTATCATCATCACCACCACCACAACCAGCCAGGACTTATCTCGACTCTAAACGTACTCCATCCCTCTCTTTCTACCATAATGAAGCTGATGTAATCTAGAAGAACATGCTCGATGACGGCTTCCGGACATGTGGCCTCGTCATCTACAGATGCACCTACAAGAGCGACTCTGACTGGGAGGAGTTTATGCGTCGCTTTATCCATCATGTTAGAGACACACTTGAGTATTACGACGGCCTCGATATGCTTGATTCATTCGTGCCGACTGTTATAGACAATAAGACGCGGTTGGATGGCGCGACTGCATCTATTGTGCGTGACTATTTCAACCAGTGGGCGCGTACTGCGCGTGAGACCGAGCAAGGAGTTCCCTTTAATCGTGCCCAGTGGGCGCATACAGCACGGTATAGACTCTGTATCATGGTTGATGAGGAGGCGTTGTAGTCCGTTCTGGACATTCCACCTGAGGATCTAGATGTTTATAATGAGACTGGCTATGTAATTCTGGTTTATGGCAAATAGGAGCCCGGGTTCCTGAGTGAAGAGGAGTTAGAGGCTTTTACCAGACCGCCACCAGAGAATAATTTCGAGCCAGTGCTGGGGTGCACGCTGGAAGATGTGGGCTGGATGAAGGTGTGCTATGATCGGGCTCAGATACTGGCCTCTGCTTTTATGCGCAATGGCCCTGACTGGCAGGCGCAGTATAGGCGTCCTCCTGAGATTACTTTCAACTTTTGATCTGACAATATTTCTGTCTTGAGCTGTTGATAAATCTATTTCACTAGTTTAATGATCCTCCTTTTTCCCCCTTTCCATAGCTTGCCCAACAGCCCAAGTGCATTATCTTGAATTAGATGGGAATCACGAAGAAACACCAGCACAGACAGCATATCCAACGCCGGGTCTCGCAGTTCGACCCAATAGCCGGATTCCACTCATAAAGCTGCGCAAGGTAATGACATACTTGTCCTCAATAGCTGCACACGAGTCCCTGCTACAACAGTGGTACTCGTCGTAGTTTGCGGCGATTCCGGTCTGTGTTGGGCTGACACTAGTCATTTTGCTGTGGTCGTTGTTGCTGGGCCCTTGACGCAGTATGTGAATCCAAGCCAGAGACTCGTACTGGTGGGGCCAACTGTTTATTTTACAGGTTAGATTGTAGGCAAGTAGTAGGGGGTAAATGTACTGCTTGGGTTCCACTCATAGAGCTCTGTAAGGGTGACGCCGAATTCGGCCCCCATGGTCGAGCAGTCGTCACCAGACTCAACGGTGTAGAACTCCTGGCATCGAGCAATAACCCCGGTTTAAGTTGGGGCTGCTGATGTCGTGGTGGTTGCAGAGGCAGTAGTAGTAGATGTTGCAGAGCCCACTCCGATACAGACTGCGCGGCTATCGCTATTGTTGAGGTTTGTGTAAGGAGCCGTGTCGCAATTGCCAGCGAGCCAGGAGTTCCATGCCACCAGGTCGGCTTCTGTGAAGCTGGCGTCAGACTCAATATCCGCGTATTGAGAGCCTAGAAACGTGTTAGCATTTGCTTGGCTGTATACAGTTCAAGACGTACTGCCATTCACGTAGCCATAGACCTGTGTAAAGCAATTGCAGTTCGACACTGTGGTGGACTCGGTGGCATTAATTGGCAAATAGAATGGATCACTGCCACTGGCAGTGCTGTTGCTGATTACTATTTTTTTGGTTTGTCAGATAAGTCCATAGCAAGATATATCATATAGTATCATCTAAACCAAAAACTTCGGGTTTTTTTTTCAGGGGAGAATGGCTTTATAAGAATTCACTGTGTTTAATATGTGGCTCAAGTACGGCTGAGCGGATGGGAAGCCCTGTTTTCCACACCCTATGGTCGTATGTGATGGTTTTTAACACAATCTTTGATTATGTAGTACGTTTGGGGCACGTAAAATAGCCCAAATGCCTCAAATTGAACTTTTGCCATATACCAGACGCGGCGTAGATAGTAAGCCCTTTTGGACGAATTGGGCGACGACCCCCTTCATAAAGTCTATGCCACTTTGATTGTAAGTTCGGTGCCTCTCAAACCAGGCATATGCGATCATCTGCGCAGGAAATAATGCCGAGGCCGGCCCGAAGAGCTTCATCTCATCTTGAAACAAGTAGCTCATACTTGAACAGATCAAAAGGGCCAGGCGGTCCCCTTCAGCTCGAATGTTAATTGGGTTAATTTCCTCTGACAGTCCCACAAGTATTCCTGCACAATTCGGCGGTCTCGACAGAATTTTGTCCATTTCCAATAAACAGAGGACTCGGACAGACCAGCAATGAGTCATTCCGTTTGCGATAGAGACGTTGGGGAACGGTATCGTCCTGGAGGGTTTCTGCGGGATATTGATAGAACTGGGTTGAAGGTCAGAGAACGAAGTGGCGGAAGGAATGATGTTGAGGCCCAAAGCGTTCTCCCAAGCGCAAAGTCGTCTCGAAGCCTCGAAGAGGAATTTGATCAATCCTCGCAAAGTAGGTACATTTTCAGTCGAGGAGACGCAGCTGAGTATGTCAATCTGTTGCAGGATTGATGGTATAGCTGCAACGTCGCTGTAAAGTTCTTGGGTAGGAGTTGGCGTATTGATCGAAAAAGGGATGTTGATCCAGATAGTATCGCAGAGATCAACTCTCAACTGGAGAGAAGTTGCAACAGTTGCCTAGCCACTTGTATGTGTTACAAGCATTCTGCGGACAGATGGGCTTCTCGACTACTTGATTTTACGTTGCGCGTAGAAGCATTTGGGGGACAGAGATCGAGCTAGAGTGAGTGGCACTCAGAGCAGAGTTTGGTCATTGGATGGGAATTCTAACCTTAGGAAACCCTTGAGTCCCCCAGCTCCGGGTGGTTATGAATGAAACATTATGATCCTTTCAGCCCCAATTACAGCTGGAGGTCTTGGCGGATTTCGATTCCCGATACGGTTAGGTCCGACCCACAGGGAATTCTGGGGGCACCACAGCTTTTGCTGAGGACCCCACAACGAGTGATCAGGTAATTAGAAATATCAGGTAACTGTATCTGAAATTCGGTGTGTTATTTACATGTTCTTTGGGTTTGCCCAACTTCCGCCACATACAGTGGATTTGAACGTATTCTTAGGAGAGAGCATGCATACAAGCTGAGACAAACAGTTACTCTCTGCTATCGAAACTCTGCTTAGGAAGAGGCTCCATTTCTGCAAAATCCAAGTGGTTGGAGGATTTAAGAGATTGGAAAACACAAAGGAGAAAGAGCGAGCGATTTACACTAAACGACAGTATGGGCATTTAGAATGATATTGCCGTGTTCGTTCTGATACAGATCGCCTAGAAGCTGAGATCTTGTAGACGAGTCGATGCTACTGGGGACCATCTCTCGTGGATCTAACTCCAGGTCTTATCACAGCCGTGACATGAAGCACGCCGTGAGAATATTCGTAACGTAAGCCGAATGGCGATTTGAGAAGTATCTCTTATATTTCAACAGATAAAACGAAGCTAAAGAATTCCCCAAAGGAACTCCCTTTTCGCCCAAGCCGCTCTGTGAATTCTGTTTCAAGTTGACGAATTACTTGAGATATTGAAAAGACATACAAACGATTCTTTGCAATATACCATCTTAAGTGGACACCAAGCCTACAACATTTGCCCGACATCCATTGCCCTTACATATCTGGAACAACACCCTTCATTGGAGGCCCGGTCTCGATCTCGTCGTAATCATCAAGTTCAAGGAGAGCCTCTTTCACGATCGTGATACCTCGAAAAAGATCCGCCTCTGGAATGTTCAAAGCCACACCCATGCGTACGCGGTCTCCGTCTGGGTAGGTGAGAATGCCCTTGTGGAGGCACAGCATGCTGAGTCGTCGGGTGGTGTGTCGCGGGTTGCCAGTACGTTTCAGGTAAAGGCCCAAATCAGCACCACGGTTTGTGGTATAGTCAAGCCATGGCATGTTCCAGTCGGCTGTTTCCTTCTTCCAGACCTGCCCGATCCAGTTGGCGCGCTCGACGAGTCTCTCCTCGTCTATGATCTGCAACGTCGCACGAGTGGCAGACATAGCGGCCGGTGCCATGCCGAACGTTGCTACGGACTCATAGCCGCCGACCAGATCCATTACCTCGTTGTGACCGAAGATGTATGAGGCAGGATAAGCCCCGCCGGTGATGGATTTTCCCATAACAACCATGTCGGGCTTGTTCTCCGGACCCATCCAGTCGGAACAAAGGAACTTTCCAGTTTTGCCCGAGCCCATTCGCACTTCATCGGCAATGAATAGTATATTGTATTTCTTGCAAAGCTGGCGCACGCCAATTGCAAAGTTGAGCTCTTCCTCAAAGGAGCTGCGCCGCATGATGTTAGTTTTTTGAGACGAACCATGATAGTCTGGATCGGCTACGGCCAGGAGGATTTCAAGGCACGGACTTACGGTTTCTTTCCATGGATACACTCCATGATTATTGCGGCCACACGTCCGTGAACATCAGCAAGGACTTGCTCGAAATCTTTCAGGCATCCGTACTTCAGGAGCTCCCCCGTCTTTGGGTTGGTATTCCGAAGATTCTCGTTGACGATACCGTAATCTGACATACCTGTTAATTTTGCTGCACAGGATCCAGAACCATTCTTTCGACATTAAAAGAGCAGAACTAAAAGGACAAGTGGAAGCGAAGCACGCAATACTTACCCGATGACTGGCCCATGTCATTCATGATGGGCCAGATTCCGGAGCCAACGCCATGATAGTTGTCCGAAACCCCAAGTACGAGGACATCGCGAGGCGGAATGCCCTTTACTTTGATTCCCCATTTTCGGGCAAACTTGACAGCTGCATCGGCGCCCTCTGTGCCAGAAACCATCCCTGCCATCTTGTCGTAGCCGAACCGTGTGCACATGTCCCGCGTGAATTCGGCCCAGTCGCCCACTTTGGTGGCGATATTGGTGAGAGTGACTTAATGTTGATGCGGTTAGCTTAGAAGCTAATGCAGTCCAATTGCTGGACTTCCACAGCAGAGCGTATGGACCATGGGGCTGGTACTTACTGGCCTGCATGGAGGTGGTCATCGCTTCGAGCAATTTCGGGTGACATTGGCCCAGGTTGGTGGCGCTCAACATGCAGATGAAGTCGATGATTTCATTGCCATCGACATCCTACTAGCTCTCAGTCATCTCGCCAATACTATAAATATGAAAGGGGCAGGAGGGTGAAGCACTGACCTTCAATATAGAACCCTTGCCGCTCTTGATGAAGACAGGAAGTGGAAAGATACCTCCCGCGGAGTATTTGCTATCGATTTCCAGGAGCTCGTTTGTCTTGGAGGACAGTCGCACGACCTTACCATCTCTCTGATTTTCCCGAGTCATGATTTTCCCAATACTCTGTTAGCTGATAGATAGGTAGCACGAAAATCCGCGAAGTGACGGGCTAATTACGTGGAGGTGATAGCGGTTGGTGGGAGAAGGAGAGAAAGACCTGAACGGGCATCTGAGGGAATTTATATAACCCAACCTCGGAACTCGTTGCTATGTATGTGTTGTCGGTATCCTACTACGGCCACTTAATCCACTCACCTTCTAGTGGTACGTCGTATTGTCTGACTGCATAGGAGCCCATCATCTCAATGCATCATTCCAATGAACATTGAATCGAATCGCCTGGTAATACACACTACCATTGAGCGGAACGATGTTGTCCTTTCCGCGTTCTTGGACGTAGAGAGACAGGGTACCCACCTGGGCAGTCCTCATAGGTAATTGGTCTTACCGTGGGGTACAAAGAGTGCCAGAATATTGGTACAACAACAACCTTGGTAGTTCATTTAGCGATAAGAAAGTAAGTTGCGGCTGGGGCAAAGTCTGATAAGCGCGGGCATCCCCCAGATGATGTTGCATTCGACCCACAGTGCTAGCGGCCGGGTTCCAAGCTGCGGTTGGTCCTGTTAGGTAACTTTCCGACCTGATGATCCTGATCTACTGGTACTCTGGACTACATACAGAATAAACGGCATAGCCCCGTCTATTCTACCTGCTGGCTGTGACAAGCCGGCACTCTTTTTGGCAGCCCGGCTTACCATGGACCGAGGACTTGGAGGTCAGCAGATTCCGTCCGCGTCCAGCTGCCTCAAAGCAACTGGCTCGCTCATCACGGTTAGCGGGCCCTTTCCCCGCTCTTCCCCGCGATAATCATGGATTTCGATACAGAGGAGCCCCTCTGATGTATCAGCATTGCAGCCGCGTATATAGCTCGGCAATGGATAAGGCAGATGAGGTTCGTAAGGGAGTCCGTCGGCAAATTCGAGTGCCGAATCAACATGGCGCACTACCGGCGACTCGAAAGTGGATTAAAGTAATACATGCTCGGCCGATTGGCATTGCCCATGATACTAGGCAGATAGGTTCGGGGGAACCTCATCCGGCCGTTTCAGGAAGTCTGTCTTCTATAATGAGGTATATATCCCCGCATGTTGAAGATATCCATGTTTCTTCCTCAGTCTTTCACAGCCGGAATTGAATACCTTCTGTTCCAAGGAAGTATCCATCTTTCCCCGAATTCCGTTGTCAGTCCGTGGATCTTAGATCCTCCGCTTCTTAGCTTTTGGAATTTCCTCTCAACTTATCCTCAGTCTCCTTGCGGGTGACAAAGTATTTTTATACGATGAGGAGTACTTCCATGGCTTGTTTGAATTTCAATGTACGCCTACGCCTACAATTTCCATGCCGTCTTACGTTCTTGCTCCCTCGAGCCGTCATTCTCTAGCCTTGTGTTCATCAAAATGCACGTTTAACGTAAGCCAAGCTAATGTGTTTACTCTAGAAATTCTACAATGTCATCAATGGAGGAACGGTATCTAGTACTGTGACTCAGCATGGTATCAACCCGGCCAACAAGGAGAAAAACCCCCCGGTTCCGGTTGCCAGTTCCACCGACCTTGACAATGCTGTCACTGCCGCTCAAGTTGCATTTGAACAATGGTCGCGATCCCCGCTTGAAGATCGGCGTAAGGCTCTGTTCGCGTACGCTGATGCAGTGAATGCTGAAAAAGATGGGTTCACCAGTCTGCTTACGAAAGAGCAAGGCAAGCCTCTCTCCCAGGCGTCAGTCGAAGTTGAGATGGCAGTGGCATGGATCAAGGGCCTGGCAAGCTT